ACCTGCTGTGTTTCCTGCAGCCGCTGTGACACAGCGAAACTAGGAAATGACCCAATTACAGAGCAAGGATAACCTGGATAACTGGAAGCAGCTGGGAAGGAGTTTAAAACCCGGCAGAGATCACTGACATGCTGGCTTCCCAACAAATGTTCTCAATATGATTTAAAAAATCATATTTTCAGAGCTTTCCCGTGAAGTTTCTAACCAAATGACAGGAACAGCTGTAAATGACAAACATCTTAATATATCATGTGTTCCCAGAGCTGCTTTTTGACATAAATAAGACAAAGATTACATGTGGGGTTCCTCAAGGCTCTATTCTCGGGAGACTTTTATTCAGAATCAGACAGAATCAGTCCTAAAACATCTTGTACACTGACGACACAAAACTTTATATTTTAGTATTAAAATATAACCACTCTCTCTTAGAGTCAGTGACTAAGTCTGTTCATAATTTGCATCAGAAGACGAATCAGAGTTTCAGAAGTCATTGGTTCTGGTCCCACAAATAGAAGAACCTAACATAACTGATATGAATTTAACATTCAAGTACAACAAATTATTCATCTAGTTCACAATAATATCTTAAAAAGATGCCTGAGTCCTGACCGACACCGTGAAAATGAGTCATCACCTCTAACATGTTAAATGAGAGATCACTTTTCATCAGAACCAGAATCAAACCAGGAGAATCTGCAGTGTGGCGCATTTCTGCTAATACACCAAAAAGCTAAAAGCTGAGTTAAGTTAGCTCTTTAGTGCTTTAGCTAACTTTGAAAACGTTTATCACTCTAAGTTACCCTTTAATTTATACATATAAATTATATTTGACTTTTTTATAAACTTTGAGTTGTATAAACTTTGACATCCGTGTTTAAGTTCTTTTAAGAATTCTTCAAATTTCTAGCGCTTTAGCATTAGCATCTGCTAAACACCATGTTAGATTAGCACATTAGTTACCTCATATCTGCAGTTCCTGCTTTAGGGTTGGTGCTAGTGGTGCTCCACACTGAGAGTTCCTGGTTCCTCAGTGGAACAAACTGAAAACTTGAAACATGTAAACTGTTAGCTTCTTTAAATCAGGACTGAAAACATTAACTGCAGCTTCCCCTTGTTCTTTGTTGGTTTCTTTCTATTTAACCCACCTAAATGTTGCTTTTAATGTATTTTATTCTCTTCAAAGCACATATCTTTACCTCTTTTCCAGCTCCAAACATCCCCAGTGACTGACAGCAAAAAGAGCTTTAAACAGTGGAAACAGTGCCAGTTGGCTCCTGAGCTACAGACTGCAGAAGATGCATGGATGCTGCAGTGTGTTGCAACCAACCAACCAACTAACCGACCAACCAACTAACCGACCAACCAACTAACCAACCCTGCAGCCTTGAACACATCCTGGATGATATGCAAGACACTTGCATAACTGCAAAAAGCTCCAGCGGTAAACAAGGAGAAGCACATCCTCCTCCTCCAGCAACACCACCGCAACAAATGCATCCATCCACCAATAGGCTGTCAAAGAAATGCTCCTTTTTCCTGGCTGTCTAGTTAAAGGAACAGTACCTGTGATGTAAACAACCCCAAGACGTCAGCAGATAGACTGCATCAAGTGCAGTCAGTCCTCAGGGAGCCTGGTTACCAAAGCAAAGATTGAGAAACTCATCCCAGAAATTCCTGCGCTGTGTCTCTGATTGCAACAGAGACCCTCACATAAACACACACACACACACACACACACACACACACACACACACACACACACACACACACACACACACACACACACACTCACAGTGAATGGCAATGCGGTGCTCGGCTCCTTCTCCGATCTGTGCCGAGGACAGACAGAAATCCTCTCCTGTCATCCGTCAGGGGCTTTCCGTCCCGCTGATCCTCTTCCTCCCTGAAAGCGAGAGCAGCTGCAGAAACGGACAGAAAGAGACGGGACTCTGTCAGGGAGCTGCTACCGCCGCGATCTGCCTCCTTCTCCTCCCTCCCTCCCCGCTTCTCTCCAAGGTCAGCCGCTCTGACTCCTCCCTGCCGCTGACGGGCCGGACACCCAGGCGCTAATTACCATCATGATCCAGATTAACTCCTGTTGCTGCTGGACGACATGCAGACGGGATTATGTCTCAGGAAGAGGAGTGGAGGTGGAGACCCCACAGAGCAGGACCAGACTGCAGGAAAACATGCATTCATTACACATCTCAGCTTTTATTCATAGTATTTCTGAATAATAATGGAATATTGTTTATTTAATAGGGTCACATACAAAGAGATAAGTTAGAATAAAAAACAGATGTTAAACAATGTACTTAAAACTATTACAATGTTTAAATGCAAATCCAATTCTGCTTAATCTTTGGTCAATCCTCAACCTTTGAAATGATCATTTTGATGTCAGTTATGATCTTAAAATCAGATGATAATCAATTCCAAACTACTGATTCAGAAATACCAACAGTTGTCCAGAGAAAAACTATTTTATGATTTGTGATGATTCTAACAGCTCAGGTGATACATGACTGATGCTTTTATGCAACACTTTAAAAAAGCAAAAATAAAGATATCAAAGCTCATTTCTTCATATAATGATGACAGCAGATCGGCTTTTTATCCATAATGTTTTACAGCCTGATTGTAAGAAGAGGCAATGTGTTTGGTAACAGTTGGAGTTGATGATGATCACTCCAAGTCACTCTGTGGCTTAGAAACATAATTTTGGGTTTTCATTCACTCTAAGAGAACTTAAAACAACACAGAAGAAGTAGCCACAATAAGCCACAAATGTCATTGTTAAAGAAGCCAGATGTTTGCAGCTTAGCATATGGACCAGAAATTGAGTGGAAGGAAAAATGCCACAGAAAATGTACCTGTCTGTACTGACAAAAGTATCATAACCCGCTTTTATCATCATGCACTTGACTGGTTGGCACATTTTGCAGTGGAGGAATTATGAACTGTTGCACTGATGCAATAATTCATGCATAAGGAGCCCAAGATACACTATAGAGTGCATGTATGTTTGTATTTATAAACCCCTTTAATATTGTTATAATTTAATAAAAACATTTTCAAAAAGACTTAATGTTAATCTAAATTAACATAACTAAATATTTGCAGTATAACTGTGTGTGGAATAAACCATGTCTGAGTTTCAGTTTTTGATGTTATCTTATGTGATGTCAGCTCACATGCAAGTGCATCTTGTTTTAGAAGGATAGACTTTTTAATCAAGAATAAACTTACAGCAGCAAAACAAAACATAGAAAACCTCAGAATGAGAAATTCAGAACGTAACTTTAGGTGCAGCTTAATTTCACTTTAATCTGCACATGAAGTGAAATTGACTAGAAGTTTGTCTGGAATAACGGAGAAGGTGCAATTTCAGCTGTTTTTGGTTCACCAAATATAAACAAAATTCACATTTTGTGTAAGAGAAATACAATAAACTGTACCAGTGTAGTTTAATGCCGCCTGGCCTGCAGAGAGCGCCCCCCTGTGGAGACATTTTAAACTGATTAGACGGGCCTTTAGGTGCTTGAGGTCCAGTGATGGAATAAAACACAAGTGTCTGAAACCAACCCATATCTTACTACAGATAATAGTTATGGATTTTCTAACTTTGGGTTTTATTTTGAGGAGAAAAAGCAGCTTGTTTCAGGCAACAACAAAAATGTGATTTTCACCCTAATCATTATATTTTACTACTAATACTGATTCATACAATTAAATGTTGAACTTTAAGGCTGCCGCTTTATGACAATAAAAGCAGTTACCTGCAGCAGGCCCCCTGCTGGCACACAGCCAGAGCAGCAGTCCATGTTCCGGTATTCTGCTGCCGCCTGCTGGCTGTTTCTGGTAACTACCAAACCTACCTTACAGGTGCTTCTCAGCAAAATATCTCCAAAAAGTTGATTTCACTAAAAAGTGAAACTTAAAATAAACATTGCCTAAACGTGGAGGGATAGGTGCTTCATTTTCTGAAGTTTGATGCTAATGACTCGTGAAAACCCAAAGTGAGCTGCTTTGCATTGTGGGGTTTTGGTTCTGCTGAGGGGTTCAGGAAGCGGGTTCCTTGGTGTTCAGGTCATCTGGATGTTTTGACTGTGGCGTCAACAACCCATTGATTCTCTGTGTGGTTCAGGTCAGCTTTCTGGTGATACCGTAGTGATTATAACAGATATCGGTACGTTTAACAGTGAGGGTCAGCACTTCAGTACTGCTGGAAAATAAAATCAGGATCTTCATAACGTTTGTCAACAGACAGAAACATGAGCTCTAAAACTTCCTGGTTGACATCTGCTCTAACTTCAGACTTGATAAAACCCAGTGGACCAGAACCAGCAGATTCCTCCAGAATCTGGATTTCAAAATTAAATCCAAACTTTACTGTCGTCTGGAAAAACCAAAAAAACTTTGAACTAGTAAGTACCAGTCCAGATCTGCTGCCATCTCTGGTTCAGGAGTGGCTTAACACTGAGTGTCTGTTGTCCATCTTCACTTGATTATTCAACTATTTTCTAGCACTTCTTTCTTCCACTCAACTTTCTAATGGCATTCTTAGAGACATAAGTTCAGAAACAATAACATTATGTGGCTTATCTTTCTTTGTAAAACGCAATAAATAGTTTTCATTATGACCAACTAGTAAAGCATGAACTATCCTTTTATGACGTAAAAAAAATCTTATTGTTTCAATTTGGAGTTTTCTTCAGCTGCAAACCATAATCATCTAAAATGACAGGAAAAAAAAACATGGATTTTTTCCCAGTGTGTAATGAATCTAAAATAGTGAATTGAAGGATTAACTCAGATGTAATTCTGAATTTGTAATTGTTCCTGTGACATATTGTCATTTTTTAAAGTTTTTAATTTTTTTTTTCAAATTACAGCATGCACAAAAACCAAGGAAATTTAACCAATGAACATGGAACAAGAATCAGATGTAAAGTTGGACCAGCCAACAGATAAACAACAAAAACAAGAGAAAAATCAAATAATGAAAAATTTGGAAATGTAGTTACAGAATAAAACCAGAAGGTGGCGGCAGAGTTTGTGAATCAGGCACATGGAGCTGCCACCAGATGCTGCAGCACCACAATGACCGACCAAATGTTCCTGCCTTTCAAGCGCTTTCCAATAAAACGCTTCCACATAACAATTTCTTTCTGTGGAAACAGTTTTTTACAGTGTTGACATGCTGAGACGTTCTGCTCTGTTCCGTTCAACCAGCTTTAAAAAGAACATCACAGCGGGTCAAATCCACAACGCTGAAGCACAAACCACAAACATACCATCAACTCCTGCTTCAAAATACACGTTTCCATCTTTTATTTCACTTCAATAAATTACCTCAGCCCCCTGGGTAGAACATGTCAGGGCGTTGCTCGTGAAAAATGCAATCTTGTAAGATTTTTGACAACTAAAAAAAACAAAGAACATAATCACATGAGGCAATTTATAAAGCACAAAAAAAGTACAGTACAGTACAAAAAGGCAGAGCAAACCTTAAATACTGTGAGAATAAAAGCTGATGGTCCAATATATAGTTAACATAGAAAAGTTGCCTGTCCTAGTTTACAGCTCACGACTTTTAAACTTGCTCTTTTTGAAACACCAGAGGTGCAGTGAGTAGTCTGCAAACAGTGCATCAAGTTACAGCCAAATACTTAATACATACATTAATACATATGTCAAGTAAACAGTAAACCAGCCCAGTTTGGAGGTTCCTTCCAAGGCCATTAAAGTACCAGTCGGTTAGATATCACAGAAATAAAACGGTATGGATCTTTAACATGAAAAAATCATCATCAAAATGAACAGAAATGGCTTTTACTGCAATAATTGAGGAAGAAATGTTGAGTATTATCATGTATGGAAGCCACACTGACAGGCTTGCTTGATGTCTGCATCACAGTGTCAAGGCAGGCGAGGCTCAATCATGGCAGAAATACAAAAACGAGCTGCTGATGGTTGGAGTCGTAGAGTTTACATCCACTCATTATGGTCATAAATATTATTAAATGTCTAGGTTTTAACAGCATATTTGGAACTTTCTATTTCCTTTAAGGACTGGCGAAACATTCATCCTGTTGTGTTTTAAGAACAACAATAATCAGAATCAAATTGGGGACAAAATTATGCATGTAGGCAAAAAATGTGACTGACTTTCATGGTTGACACCTTCAAAAAAAGCAGTTCTCAGATTATAGTGTCATGAGAGGGAGAATCAAAGTGGCGCCAGAGCATTTCTTGTTCCAAGTCTCTGCTTTTAACAGGAAGGTCTTTTTGTTTCAAAAGGAACCTTCTTGTTATAAATGAGACATAATCTTGTCTCATTACAATGAGAAGGTTTTGCTCTCGATTTATTTAGACTCTGGCAGTTAAACATTTCTATAAATGGGGTGTTTCTGTTTGTGAAGGTAAGATGACAGAATACTGAGTCTGAAGTAATACAGTGAAATGATGGTTCTCCAGTGGAAGCGGCTGGATTCATCCCAGCCTGATCAGTGAGACAGAAACACGTGTCCCATTTTACAACCCTTCCTCTCAGTTCATTTTTTTCCTGTAATGAGTCTGAGGATGAGGTGGACCACCGCTTCAGTTCCTCTGCTGCGGAGCTACAGGAGCTTCCATGGGAAGCATCATCAGGCGCCCAGAGCTTCAGCTGTGGTAGCCGGACACGGCCGCCTGCTTCTGGGAGAGACGCAGCAGCTCCTCTCTGATGGCCTTGATCAGCGAGGCGGAGGAGTGTGTGGGGGGCGACGTGTCCAGGGGAGGGGGGGACGACAGGTACGCCGCCGCCGTGTCCAGGTGGACAGGGGGCGCCGTGGGATCCCCACTTCCACTCCTGTGCATCTGGAGGTCACAGAAGGTCAAGAAGTCACAGAAACTGAAGGTAACCAGCAAATATTTACACATCAAATAGTTTATAAAAGAAAACTGTCGAGTTTTACTTCCAACTAAACAAATATAATGAAAAGCCATGGTTTTAGTAAATCTGAATACAAGTAAAAATGAGAATATAACCGTTAAGCAGGTATTACACAAAGTTTTTATTGAGCCCAAATTTCTGTATCGATTTGAAGCGAAAACATTTCTAAGTTGACAAAGGAAGTAAAAAAAAATCACTTACTGCCTCTTTTTCAACTTCCAGCCTGGAGAAGTTGTCGGTGTGGTAGGGGTTCCAGCCCAGGCCTCCGTTCTGGCCGGGAGCTGCCCTGATGCCTGCTGGGTAGCCGTTCATGCGGCTGGACAGGCCCACCTGTGTGAGGTGATGGAGCTGGGCGCCTGGAGACACACACAGCGCAGCACAGTCAGTTCACCCGACACCCGGTCCGCGGCGCTGCCTGCAGCTCGGCTCCGTGCAGCCCAGAGTCCAGAGAGCAGCCGGTCAGCCGAGCGCTTCACTCAGGACGCCGAGAGCCAAAACACATTTACCTACATCACGAGGCGATGCTGGAATAAAGTCAGCTCTTGAATAATTTAGCGCTGAGATGAAACTCGTCCAGCTGGGCAGCTTTATGACTGCATTAATGCTGGATTTATGAAATTGGTAAAATTAGTGAAACAGGAGGAGATCATCCAGCTGTTACTCCGCCATGTTGAACCCAAAACTATTTAACTGATTTAATTAAAGCAGCTGTTAACTGTTACTGCTCACAGCCACATTAACTGTCGCCCTTGGCAACCATCTGTAAAATGCATAAAAATGTGTAAAATGTGAATTTAATTTATTGCCGTTTAATCTCATACTGGAAAATTCTGTCATTTAATTTGAATCATTTCATTCAAAGGGAGCAAATACAGATTTTGTCAGAACCACAAGAACATTTTTGGCTCCCAGAGGTCACCAGAGTTTTATTGGAAATGTTTCATATCATAATTTTATTAAACATTTTATAATAATATTTAATAATTACCTCTAGCAACATTATCAGAGCCTCTGGAAGGAAAACAGGCCCACAGCATCACAGATCTTACACCGTGTTTAAAATAAGTTCTTCATTTTAAAGAGAATGTACAACTAATATTTCCACCAAAGGAAATATTAGCTGTAGTTACAAATTCTAATTGTTCATTATCATTATAAAAATGGATAATGATAATTATCCATTTTTAAACATATTTTCAAACATATTTTCTCCAGAAACTGTGAAATTTGTATTTTTAAGTATCAGTTCTGCTTTGTTCATTTTCTAAAATGTAAACCGAAACTTTAAAAGGTTGAAACTGTAGAACAGCATCAGTAATTCATGACAGCAGGCGTGTAAATGTGTCGGTTTCATCCTGCCCCCTCCAGTACCTGTGGTGCCCCCCACCGGGCGCGGCCTGGCAGACGAGGGCAGCTCTTTGGCGTAAAGCCCCCTGCTGGAGAACAAGCTGTCCGGCTGGAGAGACTCGCTGAGGCCTGATGCTTCTCCTGGTGGCAGGTAGCTGGAGCCAAGGCCCTGCCTGAAGCACAGAAAATCCTTCAGTCGCACATTTACAGCATCCAAGGTGTGAATTTACTTCATGTGAAAGAAGTTATGAGTTATTAGAAACTAATCAAGACCCCTTTTCACATGAAATACATATACAATTTTCCAAAATTACAAACAGATGTTTGTGTAGCTGATGATCCCTGGTTAGATCTGATCCATTAAACTCATAAATTAAAGATGGTGCTTCTCTTATTGCTCATGAGGGGCCAGCTCTGCAGATACAACAAAACATTCAAACCGGTGAAGCAGAGAGCAGATTCCACTGGATCTATCCAACCAGGCATCATTTTGGTGTCATAAAACACAGACCAAGTTAAACTTATCGATTTATGGGTGAACTGCTCACCTTGGGGTTAGGCCTTGAATTGCAGGAGAGGAGACCCCCAGTTCAGTGAATCTCTAGAGCAGACAAACAAGAAAATGTGTTAACTGAGAGCAAACAAACATCTCAGGTAGATTTAAACTACTTCAAAATGCTCTGTGGTGCCTACAGGATGTAGAAAATTCAAATAAGGCGATGAAACCAGATCTAAATGTCATTTCCAAAATATTTTGTTGAAGATTTTCTTTACTAATTTTGGATTCTGCAAGCTGAACCAGAAAGTAACTTTTCTGGGTCCTGCACATTTCAGTTCTCTCCCTGGTGGTACCAACAACCTTTTCAGGATGTCAATGTTCTTCTTAGGCCTTCTAACCAGCCATCATTTGATCCAGGTGTGTTAAACAAGGGAGAGAACTACACCATGCAGGATACCAGCCCTTGAGGACCCACTTCGGGGTCCCCTGGTCTAATCGGTCGCCAGGTGTGAACCTGCTTGTTCATGCAGTTCAGCTTCTGTGAAAGATTTAGGAACATCGGAAAAATCTCGTCTAACCAGAGACTATCAGAAACATAAGAGCAACTCAAAAAGATGCTCACACTTCTTGTTTATCACGTTAAAACCACAAACTAGAGTGGATCTTATTGGAGTTTTATGTGAGAGATCAACACAATGTAAAGCTTATTATGCAGCAGTATGGGGATGATCATGATGGGCCTCTGGCCAAATAGATCTCCAAACTCTTCTAGACGTCTGTTGCCTAAAATGTAATAACATGATGTTCCTGCAGTGAACAACTGAGCATGAATAGCAAAGGATGCATCTGCAGCCAACAGTAACATCAACATGTGAAAAGCTCAACGCTTTCTATTGACTGAATATCTATACAGTGAAGAACTGATCTGTTGAATTTAGAAATGCAAAAATAAAAGTGACTTTATTACAGAATTTGAACCAGGTGAAGCTAAACCTGACACTTGGGATGTTCTGGATAAAACATATTTACAGAGAAAATGTTTTTTTTGTTTTTATCTAAAATGCAAACTGTATATTTTCATTGTGCATTTTTGGGATGATTACTGCTCTGAGCCTGATGTTCTTTCACTAAGTGGCATCTTTCAGTCTGTATACTCCACTTAGCAATTAATGGACTGAACATAAAGGAACAGTTTCATCTCTTGTTCTTCAAACTGATGAATGATTTTTTGGGGAGGGGACATTTTCTGTAATTCATAAATGTTCTAAATGCTTATATGATCTAATTCACCCACTATTCTGGTTAGAGAAACTGAACTAAATTAGTAAATGTAGTTAATCACACGTTATTTAACAACTTTTCTACACTAAAGGAAATATGGTTTTACTCTTTTAAAGGAAATCAATGTTTTTGATTAAATCAGACTATTTTTGTGCGATAGTTACATTTCTTTGATGTGTAATACTCAGTTTGAGGGATTTATTAGCAGCTCGGTTTCCAGCAGCCACTCACACATGCCTCGACTTCTCTAAATGTCTCCTTCTCATGTAACTCTAGTTGGCAATGAAAGCTTTTATCTCATTCTGGTCTTTAAGCCTAAATATGATCTGAAAGCAGGATATCTACACCATGTCTCTCAGCAGTTCCATCCATAAAATAATATAAAGCACCACCAACACAGACTTTACCTTACAGCAGTAATTAATGAAGGCACTTGTTTTTATACAGCATAATTTCACAGAATGTCTCAGGCGGTTCCTTTACTTTCCCTTCTTTGAGAGGCAAAATGCAGATGAAGCATTTAAAGACTGTAATGCTGCAGGTCTTAAAGAGTGAACTTATGTGGCTGATGGGGCCACACCGCAGCGCTCCCTGGGACCAACAGATGGAGGAATACTTAACTAATTAGTTGGCAAAGAGGAAATGACTTAAGCTGAAGCTGCAGGCTTCATGTTGTGAATAAAAGGACATGAAAGGGAGAGGACATGCCTGCTAGAGCTTGGTTGGTTGCACTCTTAAATAAGGGTCTGAATAGACAGTGCAACTTTTATACCTAAATATAACATCATCACACAAGTTATGACGATTTAAGGTCCAGACTCGGACCTTGAATCCGAGTCTGGAGTAGAAGACGGCTTTAGCTTTAGCCGTCTCTCCATCAATGTTTTTTATGTGGGTTAAAGTATCACATTAGAAAAGCCTGATGGAAATGGAAAAGTTCAAAATAACTTTCTGAAATTTGTTAAACATTTTTAAACCTGCTTCAGGTACTTTTTGGGATTTTCAGAAGAAGAGTTCATGAGCTTAAGGAGAGACGGAAACACGTTGCAATGAAGGCTCTAATCCAGTGGTGGGTTTGTGCTAGAGACACAAACTCTGAAAAATGTCTATATCCAAACCTTCAGCATGTAAGAGAGGACTCTCTATTCTCGTAACTTCATGCTAGTTCTGCTTTCTGTTTATTACATCTGACTGAATCTAGTCTGGTTGATTCACATTAATTGTTGCTACAAAAAACAATCTGATTGGACCCTGGAAAAGACTGCTGTTGTGTTCAAGTTGTGCTAAAACTAGTCAGCTTATCCGTGAAGCTATTCAAGCCTAAAATAGCATCTCAATGCTAAACATGTAGCAGCAGCAGCATAGACGCTAACGCTGATGTCAGTGTCCTGATCCATAATTGATCAGGAATTCCCGATAAAGAGAGGAAAGAATATTAATTGCACCAATCAGATAGTTAAAGAACCAGAATAACAGATTAAATATAAGAAATATCTTTGTGTTTCAGCTCATATGTCTGTTAATTCAATAGTTTAGCAGGAAAAAGGCTTTTTGAATTTAAAATATTGCATATTTTTAAAATGGAATTAACTGTGATTATTTAAGTACAAATCCTGCAATTAACAATTATGTCCCCAACACTAGACTTAGGATAAGCTTAGATTCATAAATATCAATAATCACTAAAAGTTGGTCAAATAATGCAACACGAATAGAAGCATGATTAAACCTTTGATAAACATCTGACTACTTACACCAGGAAAAGGAGGCTGGTAGGAGGGGCCCCAGGCCCTGGGGCCCCGGCCTGGAGGGCTGCAGCCCTGGGGGTTGCTGTTGACCCCGGGCAGAGTGATGCCCGCCGTGCTGCTCTGAGATGTGGGCGACACCAGAGCAAAGGCGTCGTCCAGCAGCGAGTGCATCTGCTGCCGCGCCTCCTCGATGGAGGGCTGCGGGGGCAGGAAGGGAACGTGGCCCGGAGGGGAGGAAGCTGGGCCGAGGAAGACATCATCGGTGGGGGAGGGGCTCCTCTGAGAGGAACCGGGGCCTTGGTCCGGGTCCGACTGGAATCAAAACACCAGATATTAACATGCATGTGTTTGAGCGTCAGTAGATGCTTCAGCAGACGTTAGTGATGGATATTTCTCACCACGTAGGCCACATTGTTGACCCCAGGGCACTTCCTATAAACGGCGTCGCTGTCTTCAGTGATGAGGTGGTCTTTATCTGCTTCTATCAGGCCTCCATTCAGCTGATTCTTCAATCTCTGCTTTGGAGAGCGCCGCCCACGACCGCTGGGGAGCCAACAGACAAGAGTCCACATGACGCAGAGTCATCTTGCTCCAGCTGGATCAGACTATGGTTTCAGACACAATCACTGATCAAAGACATCAGCTCAAACCTTTTCTTGGAATCCATAAAGACGGCGGGAACGGGATTATCTGGATCCAGAATCTTATTGATTTGAGTCTGTGCCTTCTGGTAGATGTGATCCTGCTCCTTTGCGTCGCCAAGGCTGCCGATCATGTCGTCCATGGCGGGAAAATCATAATGACCTTTCCTCTTGGCGCGCAGACGAATCTTGTTACGATGATGTTCAATCTCTGACTTGTGCCTCAACGCTGCCTGGATCTGAAGTTTAGAACCACACAGACATTTCTAATCAATCTTACTGGGATTTTATGAGAAAAAAACTAAACAAATGAGCACAAAATGGAAAATGATTCATGGTTTTCAACATTCATTAAAAAGTGTCCCATGCATTGGTAGGTAGGTAGGTAGGTAGGTAGGTAGGTAGGTAGGTAGGTAGGTAGGTAGGTAGGTAGGTAGGTAGGTAGGTAGGTAGGTAGGTAGGTAGGTAGGTAGGTAGGTACGTAGGTGGGTCGGTAGGTGAGTAGGTAGGTAGGTGGGTGGGTAGGTGGGTAGGTAGGTGGGTAGGTAGGTAGGTACGTAGGTAGGTGGGTAGGTAGGTAGGTGGGTGGGTGGGTGGGTAAGTAGGATATGTGGGTAGGTAGGTAGGTGGGTGGGTGGGTAGGATATGTGGGTAGGTAGGTAGGTAGGTGGGGTCTTAGGCAGGTGGATCTTTCTGTCCATCAAGATGAATTTCACCTCCTTGTTCATTTGGTTGGTGTCAGACAGTTTGCCGTTGTTGGGTGGGCTGTGCAGTGGTGGGACAGGCATTGGCTGCATGGCGATAAGCTGGACTTTGTTGGGAAGTCTTCGGCTCACATCTGTGGTGCGAGACATCCTGTCGACATGTTCAAAGATGGAAGCTGACGACAGCTGCTCATTTGCAGCACCATTCATAGGTGGTGGTCCTGCAGAAAGAAAGGAGGGGAAATATAACCCTATGGAGCACAGGGATACTAACTGCTATTGCTAATCTACAAATATTGATTGAAACTAGGGAACAGACGCTTCAGACACAGTTGTGAGCTTTCTATTAAACTGACAAAACTATATTTAAAGCATTATTTTCTAAAAAATAAATGTTGAGTGAATGTTACAATGAACATTCCCTCTAGCTTTTGTAGATGGATCTCCATCTGCAAAAGCTAAACTTTCCTTCAGATAACAGCGTTAACCTTTTTCTTCTGGTCTATTGTATCTGCGCAGTGACTGACAGCTCAGCAGACAGTGGTGAGAACAAACAGAGCACAAAAACAACTAAAGAAACAAACAGGCAACACACAGACAGCTGCTGGAGGTCAAGCCTGAGCTCCATGGGGGAAACACAGAAAATCTTACCAATTCTATTCTTGCCTGTAAACCATGATGGAAAAGAGAAAGAGTCTTAATGAGATCAAATAAATAAGGAAAAACAAAGTTAAAGATCACTTTGATAAAAACCTAAAGTCAGATATGACACAGAAGAACAAAAGACAGAATAAAGCCTCATTTGATAAATAGATAAAAGAAAAAAATATATATATTTTTGAGGTTCAATGTTTCTTAAAGATCTTAAATAACCTGAAATCTTATGCCTGTATGTTACAGCGTTATGCAAGGCAATAATTGTCCCTGAAGGTAATTGATTGATTGGTGGAGGATTGATAAAATATTTTCTTTGTCTCTGATTTTTTTAAAAACAAAAGCTGTTGTTCGGAGGAGCAGGAAACAATCTGATTACAGACTGACGGAACCAAAACAAAGACGTCGCACATGAGCTTCACACACCTTCTAATTACAAACACAGTGGAGCTCGATCTTAGCAGTAACAACACAGTGAGTATTCCTGTGTGAATGATTCAGCCTGCAGTGTGTGTGTGACGGAGTCTGGCTCCCAAAGACACACCCTGCCTGACAAAGCAAGCTTGATTCAGTCAACAAGCTGTCAGATAAAGTAAATTCAGCCACTTTGGGTTTCCCCTCCCCATTCCTGCTCTGAACCCTTTTACACCACAAACATAAACATACAACATCTTTCCTGCTCTTTCTTCATCTGCTTATCTCAGCTCATTTTCCCGTCCATCCCCCTCCCCTACTTGTTCCTCCTCCATGTTTGGAGAAGCATTGCCATGGCCACATGCCATTTAAAACATTGATGGGGGCCTTACGGGTCTGCTTGCTGTCGCTGGGCGGGGCGTGGGCTCTCGGCTTCTCCTCAGTGGGTTCCCGTTCACTGGAGTGGTCACTCACCACTGAGTCACCGTCTGATGGGGAGATCCTGCCCAGAAAACACACACAGACACACTTACATGAATAATACAAGCCACACCAATGTGCTCCAGCGTCATGCAGTATCAAAAAACAACGTCTTCCAGGAAGAGCCAGGAAGGACCGCCAACAAGTCAAAATGCAGTAAAACAGAAATACAGTCGTACAACAATAAAGTGGAAATAATCAACGAATAAAGTCATAATATTACCAGAATGAATTAATAAAATTCTTGTAATTTCATTTACAAAAATCTCTTATTCTTTGTAGATCCAAAACAGATAATTGTACTAATTAAGCTGCAGAATATTTTCTTTGTTTATTTGTTGCTAAAACCTGAATCTGCAGCTCAGACAACGTTTAAGAAAACGTTTGTCTGCAGTCAGGCAGATTCCCTGCAGTAGTTCTGACCTTTCTCGCCTCCGGCCGCCGCGGGACGCCTTGGTGGAGGAGGCGGAGGTTTTGGATTTGGGCGTGGGGACCTCGCCGTTCTCAGATGGACTGAGGCCATCTTTAATGGACTGAGTGAGAGGAGCAGAGCCAGAGCCTGGCAGGGCGGGCTCCTGGATCACCATGACATCATCTTTACTCTGCTGGCCAAGATGGAGTTTGGCAAAATCAAAGCCTTTCACACTGGGAGCCTGTAGCTGAGGAGAAAAGGAGGATGACGTAAACACAGCACAGATAAAGGTGGAGAGAAAAGGCAGAATAATATTCTGAGGCCATTATGGTAGAGCTGCTAAGCTGCTGTGAGCTGGATGTTACTCAGAGGTTAAATGAAGAACAAACAAGTTCCAAGATGACACATAAATATTCCAGTAAGACTCGACATTTGCAGCCAAGACAGAAATACAATTTTAGAGCCATAATTAGGTTGACTAACTGAAAGGGTCTGCAGGAGGGAGACAGGCAGACATTAATGAATAAAGAGAGTCTGGCAGTCTGTTAGAAACTGGGGTAAACACAGAACTGAGGTGGGGTTATTTCTGTGTAAAGTCCTCAGGGCGTTCCAGCAGCACAGGGGTAAAAGGAGAATAGAAGCTCACTGTGTGCTGACAGGCAGAAACTCTGAGATGAGATGTGGCTACCACACTAAACACTCTCAGTTCCTAAACATTCAATTGTGCATCTTAAAAACGGCTAATCCTGTGTGACACTGCTAATCCCAAGAGAGGATATTTGTGTAGATGCTTCTGAGTGATGCTTATTACGCAACATCAAAACAAGTGTTTCAAACTGCATCTTTTTTTCTGCTGTATCAGATTTAAAAACCTAAAATCTACTGTCAAATATTATACAATATAAATGGGTGATTAAATTTCTTCAACTTGAAAAACAATTATCAAATGCAAGTAATATATTTTGTATTATAAGCCTTCAAAGGACAAAAGGTTTTCAAATGTTGCAGTTGCTGCATCCAAGCTGATCCCAAAACACTCTGACGATTCCCAGCAACAGCTTCTCCATCTTTCCGAAGTGAAACATATCTGCTTGTTGGAAAAATATAAACCAAAATATTTCACTTGCTAAAACAGTAGTGTACTTTTTTTGAGTAGTATGATGTGAAAAAAGTGAAAGAATAAAACAGATATTGTGTTTGAGCAGCGTTGAGTTTACTGGTTTCTGTTTAAAACGTCTGGTTGCAGCGTGAAAAGTCAAGTTGTGTGCTTTCGGCCATAAACAGTCACGATAAAGAAATGTTATAAACAACTGGATTAACATGAACGCCATTTTGAAATAATTAGAGAATTGTTGCTTTCAGTTTCAATTAAAACAAATATAACGTTGAAACATTTCTCTAAACACAGAGGCTGTCACAGGGTGAAAACGTCTCACGCCTCAACTAACACAGACCACACAGTGCATCTGTTACTGCACAACACACAACCTACACACTAACAACAAATCACAATCAGCAATTAACAACACACTGCAGTCCACACGGGTCCAGCGCTACAGTTCTGCTGTTGACTAGAGTTACTACGTGAGAGGATCCAGGACCCAAACAACCACTGGCCTCCATGTACCTTCTCCTTGGCTCTCCTCCCTTTAGACTCCACTTTCCTCTCCTCTGTTTTTACTCCTGATGGTTTAGTCGGCAAAGCTCTGATCTTTTCTAGCTTTTGCTCTTCAGATGTCATTTTTTTCATTTTGAACTTTTCATTTTCATCATCTTCCTCCTCCTCCTCCTCTTCTATGTCATAATTATCTTCTTCTTCCTCTTCCTCTTCTTCTTCCTCTTCATCACTGCTCATATTTTGTCTAGTCTTGGGAAGAGCTACTGGTTTCTAAACAGAAGCAATGATGGACAGAATGAATGGTTCCATGTTGAATATTTTTCTCCAGCTGGTAATAATTCAAGCCTCCAAAGCCTGAACAACAATCAGATTCTGACCAATAAAAGTAAATATCACCTTTCTAATTCAAAATGTGTAAATACGCATACAGTCATGTGAGTAAATTAGGACACTCTGTACTCTATGGCGGACCGAAAATATATTTATGACATGAATAAAAAGTAGACAAAAATGTTTTGTTTTGGGTTTTTTTGCTAGAAGCAATTTCTGTCAGGTCATAAATTAGGACAAACCATGTTTACTCTGTCCTAAAATGACTGCAATCACACACAGGTGTGTCACAGCAGGTGTATCACAGCAGTTTGAAGGAGGCTTGCCCCGTTAAAAACCAGAAACATCGAGCTTGGTGCTCCTCACTCCTAAACTGAAAGTGGTAAGATTCAAAAAGCTGTCTGGTTTATGAGTGTCGGTAGGGATTTAAAGAGGTTCTAAAGAACATAAAATGAACTGTTTTATGGAATAGAAATAGTCTAAAAGAATTATCTTGATATTGTTTACAATAAAATCACTTTGTTTTCTTAGTGATAACATCAATATTTCTTAAAGAACTAAATATTTAATGGGCGTCCTAATTTTTTAACTTGACTGTATTCAACAACACGAACCACAATCACACACAAACTGTCTGACTACATAGCCTACAAACCACCACACTACTCGGTACCTTCCCCCTTTTAACTTCCAGCTCCTCCTCCTCCTCTTCTTCCTCCTCCTCTTCCTCATACTCCCCCTCTTCATCCTCACTAAACTCAATATCCCTTTTAGTCGGAGGGCGCGGCCGGTGAAGGGAAGCTCCTGATTCACTGAACGAAGTGGTGGACTGAGAGAAGAGCAGTGAGGATGAGTGACAGGCGATGAGTAGAAAAGACGAGGCTGTGCTCTAACCAGTCAGACCATCTGCTCAGGCTTTTCACAATAAAAGCACAGTTTAAATGAAGAAACAGCAAGCTGCAGCTGCACACATTCAGTCAGAGTTGGAATAAAGAAGCTGTGTGGTTCCCCGAGGAAAACTATAACATCAGTAACATTAAAAAAAACAAAGTAGCTTTTGACCAAAATGATGCTATAAACTAGGAGAACAACATTTTGTATTTTTTTCTGGTTATTTTTGATATTATGACATTTAATATAAGGGACTGGAAGAAATAATAATAATAAAACATTTTTAAAAGTGATGTAATTTTACACGTCCGAAGAAGAAGGAGAAAACTGATCTAAATTGTTACAGATGAAAATAAGGAAACAGGGAAATTCATCTGAACAGAAATAAATACCAGCAGAAGTCATTTGACTTTTAGAGTAACATGAAGAGAAGTAATAATTCTCTGTAATAAAATTATTAAAGCGCTGCTCCTGCAGCATAGTCATTACAAAGACAGATAGAGCTAATTAATCAGCAGCTCCTTTAAGTGACCATTAGTCATGTTTCTTTCTGGCTTTATCTTCTTCAGACACTGCATAACTTACTGTGGCACAAATTAAAGGTTTACCCTTTAATTGAATCGAATCATTTGCGAGGCAAAAAAAAACAAAACATGTTTAATGATTGAAAGCTTTAAATAATGTAATTTATTCAATCCAAATGAAACACAAACAAACTTGTTAGAATAAAAGGAAACAACGGAAAAGCAGCAACAACTTCGCTGCATTAGTAAGACCACCATTAAAATAACATTATTGATCCAATTTTAGCATTTTTAGTAGAATATCCATCATCCAGACTGGGTCAGATTTATAGGATGGTTGTCAGATGGATGTTGGATGGATGTTGGATGGATGTTGGATGGATGTTGGATGTTGGATGGATGTTGGATGGATGTTGGATGTTGGATGGATGTTGGATGGATGTTGGATGTTGGATGGATGTTGGATGTTGGATGGATGTTGGATGTTGGATGGATGTTGGATGTTGGATGGATGTTGGATGGATGTTGGATGGATGTTGGATGGATGTTGGATGTTGGATGGATGTTGGATGGATGTTGGATGTTGGATGGATGTTGGATGGAAGTTGGATGGATGTCGGATGGATGTTGGATGGATGTTGGATGGATGTTGGATGTTGGATGGATGTTGGATGGATGTTGGATGGATGTTGGATGGATGTTGGATGGATGTTGGATGTTGGATGGATGTTGGATGTTGGATGGATGTTGGATGGATGGATGTTGGATGGATGTTGGATGTTGGATGGATGTTGGATGGATGTTGGATGGATGTTGGATGGATGTTGGATGTTGGATGGATGTTGGATGGATGTTGGATGTTGGATGGATGTTGGATGGATGTTGGATGGATGTTGGATGGATGTTGGATGGATGTTGGTTGGATGTTGGATGGATGTTGGATGGATGTTGGATGGATGTTGGATGGATGTTGGATGGATGTTGGATGTTGGATGGATGTTGGATGGTTGTTGGATGGATGTTGGATGGATGTTGGATGGATGTTGGATGGATGTTGGATGGATGTTGGTTGGATGTTGGATGGATGTTGGATGGATGTTGGATGGATGTTGGATGGATGTTGGATGGATGTTGGATGGATGTTGGATGTTGGATGGATGTTGGATGGTTGTTGGATGGATGTTGGATGGATGTTGGATGGATGTTGGATGTTGGATGGATGTTGGATGGATGTTGGATGGATGTTGGATGGATGTTGGATGGATGTTGGATGGATGTTGGATGTTGGATGGATGTTGGATGGATGTTGGATGGATGTTGGATGGTTGTTGGATGGATGTTTGGATGGATGTTGGATGTTGGATGGATGTTGGATGGTTGTTGGATGGATGTTGGATGGATGTTGGATGGATGTTGGATGGATGGATGGATGTTGGATGGATGTTGGATGTTGGATGGATGTTGGATGGATGTTGGATGGATGTTGGATGGATGTTGGATGGATGTTGGATGGGATGTTGGATGTTGGATGGTTGTTGGATGGATGTTGGATGGATGTTGGATGGATGTTGGATGGATGTTGGATGGATGTTGGTTGGATGTTGGATGGATGTTGGATGGATGTTGGATGTGGATGGATGTTGGATGTTGGATGGATGTTGGATGGATGTTGGATGTTGGATGGATGTTGGATGGATTGGATGGATGTTGGATGGATGTTGGATGTTGGATGGATGTTGGATGGATGTTGGATGGATGGATGTTGGATGATGGATGTTGGATGGGATGTTGGATGGATGTTGGATGTTGGATGGATGTTGGATGGATGTTGGATGTTGGATGGATGTTGGTGGATGTTGGATGGATGTTGGATGGATGTTGGATGGATGTTGGATGGATGTTGGACGTACCTTTTGCCTCTGCTGGATGGTTGTCATGGCGTCTGGTTGGAACTCCAGCTTGTCGGTCCGGCAGAGCTTCCAGTAGAGGATGGAGATGATGATGACGACGACGAGCAGCGGAACCACCACGCCGATGACGATCCACATGTTGCTGTTCTCTGAGTCGGAGGGAGAGGACTCCATCTTCTCTACAGCTGGAAGCAAACACCAGCAGAGCGACAGGATGACACCCGGCGCTTTAACACCAACCGCGGTAATCTGACACAGAGAGGAAACTCACGCTGAGCCAGAACGCCCTGCACACGGTAGCCCAGGATAATGGCCGCCCTCTGAACATCCAGGCTGTTCAGCAGGTCGGCAGTTTGGACGGCAGGCATCCTCTGACCGTTATGACCCTCCACAAAATACACCATCTCTGCTGGATTGTCGGTGCCCTCCAGCCGGTTCAGACTCAAAACCTGACAGAGGAGACATGCAGCGATTTCAGCCTTGACTCAAGAAAAATGTGAACTTATATGAAATGTGTTTTTTGTTCTAATAAAAGTCTGAAAGTAAATTTCCATATTAGCTAAATATTTAGCTCTGGGCTGCATTTAGCTTGCTCAGAGCTAAATAGTTAGCTTAAGCTAAATAGATAGCTTGCTAATGTTAATTTAACATGTAACTTTGAACTAAATATGTAGTTATATTAAAGCTAAAAATCAATTTTACAGCTAATTAGCTTGATAACCCTCATTGTGTGCTCTTACCACAGTCTAAATAACCAAAATCATTGCTGGTAATTTTTAATTGTGTAAGTCTACAAATGTCTTCCTATTGTTTCTTCATCTTCTTTAAGTGGTGAGAAGAGTTGACGTTTCCTAAACTGTACTTCCTTTGAGTTTGGAACCACGTCAGACGGGTTTTCACATACGTTTAGTTGGGCTGCAAGAAAATAAATAGCAGCTCAAAGAAAAGGGACGTTGCTAAATAGAGTATAATTGTCTGGTTTCTATTCTACAGAAACCGATCACCACTCATAAAGACAGTTATCCTTTCACTTAGTTTCAGTAATTACCTCATTAAATGTTTTTTATGTCTTTCCCCTGAAATGTTACCATATTTCTTCTTATCTGTAGTTATTTTAAGCTTTAAGTATCAGTGTAAACCACAGTGAGCTTCACCACCAACCCTGCGGTATAATTAGGATGTTAGAATTTGTTGTGTTATAGATATTTCCACTTTCAAACACAAGCAGCTGGAAAGCAGTGCTTCCAGAAGCAAACGAGCTATTCAGGGATGATGACGCAGTCTGCTCTCTAAATTAATAATGGAATATCTGACGAAGATCTTAACGAGCAATGTGTCACAACCGCTGTGGAAAAGAATGATTTTATAACGAAGAACTGTGTGCCTCATTGTCAGTGAAACACAGAAACTCTGAGGAGTCGAGAATTTGTTTGAAGGCAGAAAGTAAAACTCAAAAGATTTGGATACAGCATACTTTAGCAGAATGCTGTAAACTCTCAAAGGAAAGTTTGAGCAAACTGAACAGTAATCTTTATTTCATGTCTGAACAAATATTATTTTTTAGAAATAGTTTAATACATTTACTGCTGTTTCACAAAGTCTGATATAATGTAATGTAGCATCATAATGAGCAAGTATCGACTTTGTCGATCCTTTCTAACCGTACGGCCAGACAGAGATTTAAAGAGATGCAGTAAAAGCAAATGAGGTGGATCAGCAGTACCAGTCAACAACTGGTGGAGTCATCCAGGACATGCTACTGTGGAATATAGTCTCTTGCTGGGAAGCTGAACTGTTAGCAAGTCATGAGGCTGTCAAATAGCAACAGTCTTCAATCAGAGGCTTCTTCAGATTTGTTGCAAGACTGACTGCTACTGGAGATGCTCCCTGCCCACACCACCACTTTGATGATTCTTAGATTATATGAGTTACAATATTTAAATTTCCCTTTGGGATTAATAAAGTATTTTTGAACTTTAAGCACATTTTTAAACAATGATTTCATAAACAATTCTACAAAACAACTTTCCTGTGTGTAAAACTTTAGTGCCAGACCTAGATAAATCATGACAAACTATTAAGCTAAAAAACAATTGAGAATGAAGATTAAAAATATTAAAGACTAAAATTATTCTCAGAGTGTATCAATAATTCATCCAGGAGATAAAAGGAGAACCCAGGACAACATCTGAAGCTCACTGACTAAGTTAAGTCAGATTAAGCAAAACTTTTGGAACAATTTTCTATCGACTGACGAGACAAAAGTCAAACTTTTTGGAAGATGTGTGTCCAGTTCCATCTGGTGTAAAACTAAGAGTATTTCAGAAAAAATAAATAAATTTAACCTATGGTCAAACATGGTAGTGGTGGTGTGGTGATCTGGTGCTGCTTTGCTGCTTTAGCCCCAGGCCAGCTCAACATCATTAAAGCAACTCAGGATAATGTTGGGCAGTCAGTTTGTAACCTTAAGTCTGAGCTAATTTGGCTGCTGACCCAAGATGGTGTCGCATGACCTTCAACTGGCTGTTCATACAGGAAAATGTGGTTGAATTAAAACATTTCTTCAATAAAGGCGTCTCGACATTCCTCCATGGTGATGTAAAAGATTTATCGGTGGGAAAGATGACAACTTTGAAAAATGCATTAAATATTTATCGATATTTGCCATCAACAGAAGTTGTGTCGGGGGCAAATACATATCTGATTAGATCGGCCACTGTTTAAAAGATCCCTGCATTATTTTTTTATGTGTGTGTGTGTGATTCCCTCAGGCTCCGCTGCTGTCTGTGGAACAGAAAAGCCTAACGCTCAGGTCATGTCTGGCCAGGCGACCTCATGCAGAGTCAATTCTAGTTCATGCACAGTTATTAGAGTGGAAAGAGGTCAGCATGAATGTGTGTATTATTGCCCCGCCTCCCCCCTCTGGTCTCCTCTTTTATCTGCTCAGAAAGCCTCATCAGGTATTTTCATGGGTGACAACACTACGCCTATTCTGTCACGGTAGATCAGGGCATCTGTCTGACACACAGGATGTGAATTAGTGTGCAGAAAACACTATGAGACGGTCAGCTTTACCCACAGTCCACTGATGGGCTGAGTGTATAGTCAGACAAGTTCAGATCATGTATATAATTAAATATATTTACATTTTCTGTTGTTATCAGGTTGAATTAGGATTATTTCTGAAGCAGAATGTTTGAAATTATTACTCCGACATCCACATTATGAACTCAGATTTTATAAGGTCAAATAAAAATATTCCACATAACACATCCCGTGGCATTCACTGATTCTAAGTGTCTTTAATCTTTCATGTCTTTGAATCCCACCACATTGAAACCGCTCCTTTACCAAAATAGACAACTCTTAATCATCTAAACCGAAGGATCCAGACTGAGAAAGCGACCAAATGAATAATTGATCTGCTGTTAGCAGCTCTGTGGCTCTCCCTAGCAGGCGAGTGAAAAAAAGAGGAAAAGTGACAGAAATCTGAACCCCGTTAGGTGGAGGTTGTTAAGTGGCTCGTCTCCTGGGTAAATGGGATGCTGTTGCCATGGAGAAAAAAAGCCACATCCTGGCCCCCTTTGGAGATGAGATGAGCAGGTGCAGAGAGGACCCACAAAGATGAAGCTTGATTAGTAAAGCAGTAAGGTTGTCACTGCTTACTGCAACTCGCATAATGAGTCTGTAGTTCGTCCAAGCACTCAGAGCCTCTACCATTTATAAAGATATTAAAAGTAAACAGAGGCAGGAATCTAAAATATTTAGGAAGGGTTCTGTTAGCTTGAGCATCCAGTTGCAAAGTTGATGTGTGTGTGTGTGTGTGTGTGTGTGTGTGTGTGTGTGTGTGTGTGTGTGTGTGTGTGTGTGTGTGTGTGTGTGTGTGTGTGTGTGTAAATGTCCATTTCAACTGCAGGATATGTTTCCAGGAATCAGGGCTGCTTTCTGGGGCAACTATTTACCCCCATTAGTTTCCACTGAATCTACCCGGGTGAAAACAGAGAACCAGACAGACATTTACCCCAGAAAAATCCCCTGGTGGGGAGGAAGTACGTCTTAATTTACCTTAAACTATTAGGTGGAGGTTTTCTTTGTTTTTTTGGAGAGACTACCAAGCATTTTTGATTTGTTAATTTTTAATACATTTACTGCAGTTTAGACTCATCTGGCGAAACTTTAGGATTTTAAATCATTTCTGTTCTGAGGCACGAATAAACTCAACCACACTGCTCTTGCATCATTAAAAGGGGGCATTCTGAATTTTCCAGGCACATAATATAAATTTAAAGCATAATAAAGTGCCATAAAAAATCTAAGTAACACTCTGGGCATGTTTTTGAAGAGAGAATAACATTATAACATGATACAAATCTTAAAAAATAGTCAATTTCACATCCTTTAAGATTTGAAGTTAGGAAGCAAGCCGTTTATCCTCAAATGGATAAACCTGCTGTCACAAACTTCCTGTGATTTTTGTATGATTTTAAATCTGTTGCAGTGTGTCATCACTGTGAAATAATCCTAAATTGGAGAACACTGTGGTTTAATTTAAGCTAGCGAGTTTTTGTTCTCCCATCATTTTAAGAACAACTAGAACTCAGATTTAAGCTCATGTTTTTTCCTCTAACGTTCTGAATGAGTGCAAAGGTGCGCTACCTGTACACTGCTGTTGCCAACGGTGGTTGCTCTTTTCACCCGCCTGACTTGTCCCAACGCTTCCCCGAGCAACAAGGCCACTCTGCGCTCCATGTTGGCTTGAAAGGTCCGTTCGCTCATTTTCTTGTCCAGAACACCCAGGAGAACTATAAACACACCAATCGTAAGTCATTTCAATCATAATTGTTTTCAGTTCATTGACTGGAGCAGAAACTGGAACCGTTGTACCTGTTCTAACCCAGGAGGAGCGAAGCAGCTCACTGGTGTTCAGCTCTGGATAATGGAAAGCTGAAGGAAAAAGAAGTAAGCATTAATGATCCAGCGGGGAATAAAAACAGAATTATTTTTCCACATTTTAGTACTCACGCTCTGCAATCTGCAGCACAGGGAAACCAATGTAGAAGCTAAACTCTACCATTGTGAGCTTCATCAGAGCGTTGCTGACCTTCGACCCCACAAGATAACCCCGAGAACCACTGACAGTGAAGGTGATGTCTACTGGCTGCCTCGCCAGCTGTTGTTCCCCATATCTGTTTGTGGTGATGTTTAGAATCTGAAATAAGCAACAACATGCAAAAATTGTGAGTGCAAGACATTTTGTCTTTCAGAGAGCAACAGAAAATTCCCCTTATGACAAAGTTCGCTTTAGAAAAAGGAAGAAACAGAACTTAGCAGTCTGGATGTGGATAGTTACAAATCTGGGCTCCTATATTTGTTTTAAAAGGTTCACAAAAAGCACTAAAGATCAATAGGCTCATGATTTATAACATCTTTATAATCAGATGTTAGAAAACTTAAGTATACTTCCATAAACTGCTGTGTGACGTCTGTGTTAACTTTCTCTGAAGTTGGTTTGTTTTAATAGTCATAAACCTTTCACACATCAGTCTGATTGCAGTTGTTTAGTTGCATGTACGACCACGCAAAAAAAAAAATCAGATTTCAGCAAAAAAATCCAACTTGAGCATGAAGACCGGCATGAACTCAGCTATTATGAGCACTGATTAATAAAGAGAAACAGTCAATACACAAAATAACACAGCTGAGATCTGATTCAATGATTTAAAATACCCAGAAGCGATGAAAAATAATAGTTTAAAATAGAATAAGTGTCTTGATAAAATGGCTTTGAATCAGGATTACTGTGGCTGAAACTTATGATAGACTAATATTCAATCACACTTAATAATAATAATACTCTAGAGTTGCCCTGCCCAAGGGGCCAGTGTGTTGAAATAGAACTTGCAATTAACTTGACTATTATTTTTAATTGAGTCTCACCACTTTAAAATTAATAAATAATAAGAAAAAAGATCATAAAGCTACGTTTTCTCCAAAAGGTTTAACAGACAGTTGTGAGCCTTCATAAAGTCCTACCCTAAATGATCACTCACATGGATGGTGAAGTTGGTTGATTCCTTCGACCGACGCCGAACTTCTGCAAAAGCCGTGATCAAACCTTTCTCCACGCTCTCAAAGAAGCTGCAGTATCGCATGTCAACATGACCCGGGACAAACTGCAACACTGCAGCAGAGGAGTCCAGGAGACTCAGATAAAACGTCTGAGGCAGCTTAATTAGAAGATTGAAGGAGATGAAAATGCACCTGTGTGGACCTGGTACTTCCGGTCCGGTGTCGTTTGGTTAGGGGACACATACAGAAAGCGGCGGCCGGACCTTCGCAGAGCGTTGATGACAGATATGGCTGTGTACACAACTGGACCCGACACCACCCGGAAGACGAACTGTGGAGGAGGGCTAACAACCTGGACAGTGAATATAAAAAGAGAATCACTTACAGAGATGAGAAAAGGTATTTACCTCTTTGTAGGTTAATATCAGACGAAGGTCAATAATACTGAACATATATAAACACCTACAACCTTATTTATCAGATAATTACCAGCATATAAAGGGAAAATGGGAGTTGGAAGCGAATACAGTTATCAAAGATATAAAATGGTAAGAGGTTTGTGGTAAGAGGTCATAAAATTACAAAAGGATTAGAGTTGGAAACGAGACTTTTTACAGCTTAAAACTAAAACTGTTTTATGTTGGAGTGACTGCAAACAAATTGGTAACTATTTACATATTTTCTGGGATTGTCTAGTCTAAAAATCTTACTTACAAGGGATCCATCGAGAAATTCAAACCATATTAAAGTTCAAATTGCATCTTGACCCCAAATATTATGTCTTGAGGTTGAGCCCATTGGGTGGAGTTGGAAAGAAAAAGTTCAAACACTCTAAATCTGCTCAATGGTGGTAATGTAAATAACAAGGAGTTCTTGGCCCAAAGTTCTTGGCCTCCCACACTTCTTCAATGGTTTAAAAAATGTTTATGTGATGGAATAAAGTAGACTTGAAAGTAGACTTGTTTACCGACTTGTCATTTACCACTTTGCTTGGCCATAACTACTTGCCGTTTTCACTTGATATATTGATATTTTTTATTTTTACTGACCACTTGCTTGAGGAATTTGAACCAATACAGTGGAAAATGTACACCTAAAATTTTTAGTTGGCTCAAAACAAAAATGTTTTTGAATGTAATACTTGCAAAGTCGCTATTTGTTATTTTGTTATGACAGATTTTTACCTGCAGCTCCACTGACTTGTTAAATTCCACTTTCAAAATATCTCTCACTTGAGATTTGGCAAATCCAACAGTCACCCCAGACGGGAAACCTTGCACAAAGCAGAAGTTCAAAGTTGTAGTCTTTCATTTATGGATATTTATTCAAACTTTACACATTAATAATAGCTAGGGTGAAAACAGAGTTCAGACTTACCAGTCTTTGTTAAATAAGCAGGGTGGTCAACTTTGCAGAGGTACTGTCTTGATGTAGTTGATGGAGCTGTGGTTGTTTCACTGGTAGTAGTGGTGATGCTAACACCAGTCGAGGTTTCGGCAGTGGCAGAAGATCTGGTTGTTGCTTGATGAGGGGTATTTGTGGCAGCTGGATTTGTGGTTGCCACAGCAGTAATAACTTCACTGCCCGTTGGGTTTGTGACCATTGTGGTTAAGTTATCCGCTCTGTCTTCCGTCACACTCTGATCACCAACCATAACCGGAGGAACCAGAGTAACATTGTAAGACATGGATTCATTTGAAACTAGAGTCACATCACCAGTTTGTTCAGTTGCAAATGAGTCTTGTGACATTAGGTCAGTTGCAATGGCAGTGGTGTTTTCAGGGGGTTCAGGAGAGAAGGCTGCAGTTGCAGTTATGAAGGGAGTAATGAGTGTAGGAACGTCATCGAATGATTCTGAAACAAACCAATGGACATCTGTCAGAGAAGAAGACGACGCTAAATCTTCTGGTAGCAGAGATGTTGCACTTGGATGTAAAACTTCTGCTAAAGCAGAATCAATATCTATGGCGACCGTATGTGTAAACCAGCCAGTGGTGGAAACTGGACCATCCCATACAGAGGAAGAGGGATCTGAGACATAGGTTGGGACAATGGAAGGATCAAGAAAAGACTCGGAAGCATTGCTCAGCTGGGGAGTGATCTCTGTGGTAGTTGATTCATAATGAGGCCCAAATCCTGACAGATCACTGGAGGATTCACCCTCTGTCAGATTACCATCAGTGGTGACATCTGTGGAGGGTGGAGCCATTGTAGCATTGAAGGACACCTCAGTTGCATTCTGCCTGTACTCTGCCGCAGTTTCTGAAGCATTGCTGTCCTTCGTCAGCTGAGTGGTGTAATACTCTAAGCTGTTCATGTCAGGCAAGAGAACATCTGTTGGTCGAATTGTGAAGGCATCTCCCCAGTCGATGTCTGATTCGCTAGGTACATCTGCTCCAGCAACATCAGTCGGCTGCAGTAAATTGGAAGCCTTTATAGAAAAGGAGGATGGATAAATGGATTGACGTGGAGGAACGGTGAGGTATGGCGTCATGAGGCTGGAAGAAGATGAGCCATAACCAGGGTGTCTGGAGGAAGGCGATATGCCCACTCTGGAAGGAAAAGATGTGTCGTAGATTTCTGTGTCGTCCTCCATATCGTATGGGTCTGAGAGAACCTTAGTAACCAGAGAGTAGTCATCATTATCCGTGTTGAAGAAGGACATTGTTTCCAAGTAGTCTCCAGAACCCCAGTCGACATTCATGGTGTTGGTAGGGTAGAAGTCCTCCGAAGGCACCTGGTTAGGGTCAGAAAAAACCAACGAGGATTGGGGGGTGATGAAAGGCACATGGTAGCCAGGAGCCATGATCTCGTCTAAGCTCGGTAATGTGTTCATGTTCCGTTCAGATTTGTTCTGCACTATCTGGCGGCTTGAAGCAACCTTTTGACTGTCAGACTCAGACAAAGCAAGTTCGGGAGGCTCAAAAGGTAGGTTGGCCACTGAGGTCACAAATGACTGCATTTGTTTTAATGTCCTATTCTGCACCAGGCTTGAAGTCGTGTCTTCTTCATAATCAAGACCTTGATGAAATGTTGATTTTCTCAAAGCAGAAGGATTTAAGGTTGTCACAGACGCATTAGACTGGAGTAGTTGCTTCCATCGTTTGGAATATAGAGAAAAATTATATTCCTGTTTGTGAGGATTAGTCCTAACCCCTCCTTTTTCACTGGAGCTTGTAGCTGACGCCTCAAAAGCCAGGGGAAGTCCAGTGGGGCTTAATGGCGGAGTTGTTCGAACACCTGTCTCCTCTACATAGACATTCCTTGGCACTACAGATTTAGAGTTTTCAAAAGCACCAGGCCCTGATTTTAAAAGCTCGCTGTCAGCAGTTCTTGCTTTGGGAACTGGTTCAGGAATGGAGAGCAGAGCACTGAGTGACTCCGGGTTCTTAAAGGCAGTATAATGTGAGTCTGGTAAGGCGGACGGTGATGATCTTGTTGTCTTTGGAACCCCTCCAAGAACTTCGACAAAGGAGGTGTGTGAGTCCAACAGGGACTCGTCTGCAGAGGAACACAGATAGTGCTTCAGTCTGGAGGAAAGTAAACCTTTGAAAGCTGGAGTATTATCAAAGTATCACAAAAAGTGACACAATAAAAACTCGTCCTATATCAAAAATCAGATGAGGCATTTGTTCTTTATTTACATTTCCAGCAATTATTTTAAAAAAAAATCTAGAGATATTAAATTAGAATTCCGGAATGAAGTTTTTCCAATACTGAATCATTAAAGGTCCCCCCAAAAAATAGTTTGCTTTTTTAAAAACAAGCTTATGTTCATAAAAAAGAATGAATAACTAAAACAGTGAGAAATGAAAGACGGCTGCCAATTTATATCACATATAAAATGGATATTAACAGTCATTATCGTTTAAAAACATCAAAGTAAATCTTCTAGTGTGGCCATCACAAAGACAAGGAAAGGAGAACCTAAAGGTAAACAAATCTTACATATTCTTTCTCTCATAATTTTTGCTTTTAGCGAATGGAAATAATGTTGGTGATTCTAACTAACCTGACATGAGAGAAAGTTGTCTGGTTTAACTTTTAACACTAAATCAAACATAATTTCCTTTCAGAATGGTCTCACTTACATTGCTCTGATACACACATGTCAAAAATGACTTTGTAAGAGGAAATAGATCATAAATAATTCATAGAGATACATTATAGGCCATTTTGCAGTACCATCTACGTGAAAGAGCTCATCATGATGATGTGGTGATGCTGAATTTGTTTGTGCTGGAAATCTTTGAAACAAACTGCTCATGGTGAACTTTAAGAGCAAAATGCTTGTTTTTGCTTGTCGTTTCCATCAAAATCTAAACTGCCGTCTGCTGCTGCTCTCTGTAATGTGGAATCAGTGTGGGGATATTTTTAATACTAACAAGAGAAAGCAGATCACCTATAAAAACATCAGAACAACTGATAAAAACTTCTTCTGCATCGTTTCATACAATCAGAAAGTGGTTGACTCTTCCCTAAAGAAAACTCCCAGCTTAATTATAACCTACATTGGTACCTTAATCAAGTCAGCATGCCCATTTAGCAGAACCCGCCTGGAAGGACTTGGGAAACATCCAGGGTTTCTGTTCAAACACTTTGCTGCTGTGCCAAGTGTTTGAAAGCAGCACACAGATGGATATACACACACAAGTTCATATTTCTATCCATATTAGGACTTTGTATTGACTTCTACTCACTTTATTTAATAAAATTATGCCAATCCCAAACACTTAACTCAAACCATTAGCAGTTTATTCCAAACACTAACCTTGAACAAAATGTAATTTGTGCCATATCTCTAAACCTAACCCTTGACCCCAAAAAACAGGGTTAACTGCTTGACTGCTTTACGACCAGGATTTAGTCCCCATAATGCCCATCGGTCTCTAGATGGTGAGTAACTGTGCCAGAGACGTTCCTAAATAGAATTGCTAAACCAGTAGAGACATACACACCCATACACACACAGAAAACAAACCGGGCACATAATAAAGTGATTAGCCTTCAATGCAATGAAAACCATATAAATGAGAATAGCAACATCTGCTAACCTGCTTTAAAAAGAACCAAAGGAAGAAAAGGCTACTCTGATCTTTCTACAGGCTCTTAAAGAGGACCTCTCATGCAAAAATAAATTATTTTGCACATTTCTGTACTGCCATTTGGGTTTCTACTGCTTCTAGAAATAGTTCAAGTACTAAAAAAAAAAGTTAAGTTAAAGTTTTTTGGCATCTGGAAAGCCTCCATATTATGACGTCACAATCGGCAGGCAGTACCCCTCACCCAGCAACCCAAGCTTCGTTCCGCCCCATTCATGACTGGAAGACAAGCATGTTTGCAACTGTCTTGTTTTTGACTTACCATTCAGAAACCAATGCTACCTCCTTGTCGGCTGTGCAGAAGGTTCTACTTCTGCTCCTGGGTCTGACTCAGGGTCAAAGATGCATCATTTTGCCATTGCTCATCCGTTTACCATTGTGCATCTGTCTGCATCTCTTTTAAGTGAATAACGTTTAAATAACAAGTTGGGGGTGTGACTCGTAACAGCTTATTTGCATAAAAGTGAGAGTACAAAAACAGTTAATTATTTAAATAATGTGTGATTGAATGGTTGTTGCAGAAACACACATGGTTTCTAACAATGATTGTAACTATTTATGCGGCTGAAAACTGCTTAAAAACCAAACAAAGAGGGTCCGACTTGTGCAGGAGATGGTTGATATCTGAGGTCAAGCTGCTGCTCATGACCCCAAAATGTCAGCTCATCTAAAACACGCCCCAATGGCCACAAAGGATTTTATCAGCAGTCACCTTTTTGAGACTGCTGGGTGAAAGGATGACAAAAATAGCTACCTGAAGAGATAATTGTGATTACTGGCAGGCAATGGATGATAATAATGACTGGAGTAAAAATGGGCAATTATGCAACATTTACTACAACAGCAAAGTCTTTGCTCTTCATAATAATTTTATGAGCATTTTAAAAACTTCAATTAATAGAATATGAAATATAACCCAATAACTGTTTAAATAATACCTAATTGTTTCAAACTACAAATAGAATTGATCCTGTTAATAATTAATGCTAAAATGCTAAACTTGGTCAAAGTTTATTGCAGCAAACAGCAACCAGGCGTACATAGGTGCTCCACTTGGATTAGGGTGGCCATTACTGTGGGTAAAGGATGATGAGGGTCTCAGAGACGACACAGCCAATGCAACACCACCTGTTCGCTGAAATGGGAGCAGGTTCCAGTTGGTTGGCTGCTCATTGTCAGGCCAGTCCATGAAACCAAACACCTGTAAGTCCACCAATCATGCTGCTCCCAGGGAAAACTGGACTGGGCTCATTTTCAAAAATGAACTTGTGCAAAAAACTGCACTTATTGTGAGGTACATAAATGAGATTCCTTAGCAGAATTAGGAAAACTTTCTAATATGAGTAACCAACGTTTTCCTCACTTTTCTTTTCAATCATCATTAATTCCTGTAAGTTTTCTGAACATCTGGATCCATATCCGCCATGAGCGGCAGTGGCAGTTCCTCCATTCAGTCAAATAGGAGCATGCAGAGTGTTAATGCACAACTGGAATTGGACAGGCTACCAGATGTTGCCTCCTCTGAGTCAAGTCAAGTTTATTTGCTTAGGGCATTTCAGCAATAAGGCAATTCAACGTGCTTCACAAGATAATATTGTGAAACAAGCAACAAATGTCACATTTTGTCAAAATCATCAAGAATAATCATCAAATATATTGATCAAAGGTTAAAGAGGTGGATTTTAGCCTTTATTTAAAGGACCTTAGTGTTTCAGCTGTTTTGCAGTTTTCTGGAAGTTTGTTCCAGAAAACTGCATAGAGCTGCGTTGCATAGAGCAACGCAGCTCTATGCAGTGTTGCATAGAGCTGCAATGCTGCTTCTTAATGTTTTGGTTCTGGGGATGCAGAACACCCTGCCTCTTCAATATACAGATCTTTAATGTATGTGGCGCTAAACTGTTGGGTGATTTATAAACTAACAACAGTGTTTTAACATCTATTCTCTCTTTGGAAGGATTGTGGAACTAGAATGATGTGCTCCGTCTTCCTGGTTTTAGTCAGAATGCCAGCAGCAGCGTTCTGGATCAGCTGCAGCTGGAGGACTGATTTTTCAGTCAGACCTGTGAAGTCACTTGTAGTTTTCGATGGGACGAGAGACAAACACATGGATGAGTTTCTCTAGAGTTTGTTGGGACATTTCTTTTCCAATTCTGGACATTTTCGTCAGGTGACAGGAGGTCGACTTTGTAACTGTCTTTATGTAACGTTGAAGGTTCAGGTTCAGGTCAGAGTCCATAACTCCACCCAGATTTTAGGTCTGATCTCTAGTTTCTAACTATAGTAACTGAAGCTGCAGGCTGACTGTAGATTGTTCTTCACAAGGCCCAAAAATAACTTCATTTTTCAGATTGCAGCGTTACACACAGTGATGCTATGAGAACGATTGGGATTCAATGTACAGTAAATTTCTTCATGTTATGAAATGAGAGCGATGTAGTTAAGTTTAATTTATGTCTATGGATGTAGCCTGTGTCCTGTGTGTAATCCTATATCAGGTTAAGAGGATACAGAACTTGGTGGGTGGTAAATGGGGCATTTATCACATGTTTTTTTATGTTAGAAACTGATAACTTTTCAGACTGATTTTTTAGATAAATTTTTGCTCAACTTCAGTAATTTATGGCAGACAGTTTTACATTGGATGGATGTAAATTTTGGGGAATGGTATACATACAAAATGTCAACCAAAATACCTTCCACACTCTATTTTCTTTTTCTATACTTTTGCACACTTTGAAATAAAATCGTAATGAATTCCTCAGGCAGAGGAGCAGAGTTGTGATGTTTAACACTAAATATGTTTTTCTCCTTGTAATACAGCATCCTACAATAACAACATCCGTAATGCAAATCGCTTTTTCTGTCACAGGTCTTTTAATTCTTTTGCAGGCAATAACACAGAACGCAGTTTCACTGTTTGGTTTTGCTTTGGCTTCTACATCTAGTGCCAGGCTTGAATTGCAGCAGCCAGTCACATTAAAACCATCCAAATAAGACGAGGATTTTTACTGTTAGCAGATGACTTCATTTCTTTTTTAAAGACTCCAACAACAAAACAAAGCATGATGAATCCTCCTGCGAAAACTGGCTCCATTGAGGGCGAAGTGGACCAAAGAAAAGCCAACATCAATATTATTTTCAACAGAAATTCTATTACAACAACGTGAAACCTTCAGATATAAGAAAATAATATTCTAAACTAATCTAGATCAGATTAGATTTGAACAGGGTTTCCAAGCTGCTGCTGACAGCGAGAATGTGTTTTAGGTGTGAAGAACGCTTCGACACCAAGTGAAAGAAATTCTGATGATATAATTTCCTCTGTTTGCCAGATTTTTTATGCAAAGCAAAGTTGTTTAATGGTCGTGTAATTTCTGGGGGGAGAAGGAGACAGGAGGACGTGTTTCTCTAGTAATAACGCTCGCTAACTGCAACCCCCACACATGGTTCTGTTTTCAGCCGAGCCCCCTTGCGTGACTGGCTCTTTTCAGCTGGCAGCGGCCGCCAACGCTGAGTCCAACAAGCGAGATACGGCTGAGCTGCTGACATTCGGTTTATCGGGAAAGCTTTTAAGATGGGAAAGATAGCATTGTTTTTATCAGTGGAGCTGAATAAGATCAGGCTTTCTGCTAAAACTGAAAACAAGCTGCAGCTTCATTCGAAAGCAACATAAAAAAAACTGTTAGAATAGTAGTTATCAGGCACTGAAATAAAAATGGAAGAGTTTAACAAATGAATGGAGGGGGAAAAACTAATTTGCACTTCATTTCATGGTTTGATAAGTCAGAAGAAGTTGCAAACTTTATCTTTGGTTTGATTTTGACAAATATGAACCTGGGAATGGAGACCTGACTGCACGGCACAGACCTCATAAAACATTCATGTGACCCTTGTTTTGCTTTCTTGAGGGGATGCTTTGTAAGATAAGAGAATGAGGGAGCAGCAAAGGGGGGGAGCAGCACAAGAGTCAGATTGAGAACAAGGAAGAGGTGAAACAGAGAGGGAGACCACCAGAAACAAACAGAACTACAGGCCACAGCTGACTTTCCTGAACATTTTTTCAGTCATTTCCAAAACTTTGGGCTCAGAATCACAAAGAAACTCAAAAAATACATAAAATCTTAATCTAGGTTTTCTTTAGAAAACAAAGAGGCATCCAGAGAGGCGCTCATCACTCAGCACTTTGTCTCAATCCTCCCAGAGGCCGCGGTCAGAGTCCAGGCCCTTTGTCTGTCGGGCTCAGTAAGAACCTCCAGGCAGTTGGAAGGAAGCTTTCAGCTCGAAAAGTCTGAGACGGGTAAAGTGAAGTGCTTACTGGTTGGTTTGTAATGCATAAAGGACCAAAACAACATGATTTCGCCTGGAGAAGCTCAAAACGAGGTCGCATATGTTTGGACTGTGAACAATAAGGCCTCAATAAAGGCTGGAAAAGCTGTTAACATTCAGCAGAGCTTCTCAGATCTCGAGTTCAAAGATCCGAAACACATTTCTGAACCAGGTCAAAGGTCAAGAAGCACTTTCATTAAACATGTTTACAATTTAAAAGTCAATCAAATGTTGCTTTTGGCTTGCAGCGTTTTGCGTCTGACCATGAGCTGCTAGCTTCATAGCAACAGACCGAAGAATTACAATCAAAGATTTGGTTCATCCAAGTGATTAGGGGAACATTTAAAACACTCACTTCAATTGTTTGCAATTCTGTTGTCGCAGAAATTTGCACAAAATCCACAAACAACCAATTTTTTTTGCCCTAATTGTGAATTTATTTCAAATTTTCCAAAAAGTGGTAAAAATTGTTGTGCTAAAGTGATACTAACTCCCACCTGCAGATGGCAGTATTTCCTACTTCCTTGATGTCTAGTTATAGTCTGTGATCAGTCAGTAACAAAAAGTCAAATTTACAGTTACACATAAGTGCCAAATATCTGAAATTATAGTTTCCATTGTTCCAGTTTAAAGAAAAGATTGTCAGATTGGCTCCTTTTGAGTTCTACTCTGAACTGAGGCAGTTTTGTTGACTTTCAGTTTAATCTAATTATGTCTGACATTCTGAATCATAAGTTCAGATGAAAATACAACAATGAGAATGACTTAAACTTTTTAAAACATCTGATGGTTTGTAACTCATTAAACAAGTGGCACATTTATTACTGTATAGTATTTAAAAGTGAACATATTTTTTAGTGTTTTAGCTCTTAAATGGTTGCAGGTGAACCCAGATCTGAATTCCATTTAAATCAAGCACATCATAAATCCAAGCTTACTTTTACATTTCCGATATCTTAAATCAGTCTGATGATAAAAATCAGTTAATGCACGAATCAGAACTGGAGATATGTTTATTAAAAAGATACTTCATTGAATAAAAAGTGCACAACTTCCTTTGAATTTGTTTACTAAATCCATAACAAGCATTTTATGGTAAAGTGAATTTGACTCTGACCGGTTAACGTGACACGTCTATCCAAGTCTGTCTCCAAAAATGTATGACAAGATATATTTTTTTAAATAATTTGTTTAGCTCTATTAAAAGCTGAAATATCACAAAACTTGTCCTTAATGACGGCCATCTTGGACGCCATCTTAGTTAAAATGTAATACTACTTTGGACAAAAGCAGTATTAGCAGTTAACATGTTAGTCCAAGAAAGAAAAACTGAATTGTACAATATTCACGTAATTTGTCTTCCACATTTCAGTAGATGTGTCGGCCATCTTGAAATTATTATTTATCCTTTGTGTCTGTTTGGTGCCTCTCAGCCCCACCCAACCTGCAGACCTGCTTCCACTGTTCTCAATCGAGCCATGACGATGGCCGGGACAGACTGGTGGGTTTCGGGTCAGCGGCGGGCCCGCTCAGTGCAACATTACCCAGAGTTTGGCTTCTGGCAGCTTCTAGCCATTGATCTGTAACTGCTCCTGGCTCTAATCAACAATGAATGGACATATTGTCATCCAAAACAGATCAGGTTTCGTGTGGCAACAGACCAGGTTGGTAATTAGATGGCGCTTTGCTGGCCCTCAGCTTCATTGGCCCAATTTGTCAACCAATTCAGTGTAGAGAGGAAAAACAACAGCTACAGTGAAAATCAAAGTGCTCTTTCTTCATTGAGTTGGAAAGAAATTACCAATCTAATTTTATGATATTTACTCTTAGATTGCAATTTTTTGGGCAAAATTCGAGCTGCATGGCAGATTTTTCTCTGAACTACCTTGGTAAAATAATGATATATATTAGCAGTATGTAGTACACGTCCCCTGGCAGTGAGGCAGCATTCCTTTACTGCAACAAAAAATACTAAATGCTAACAAGAACTAAATAAGCGCAGCCCTTTCCACTGAACTGAACATCAATACAGTGTCGGACTGATCTGTTGATTAGCTTTTAGATTAACTACTTAATAATCTGATAGCAAAAGATGCTAAATAAGATATTTTAAGTTTTTTTAATTGAATTTGAGTTTAGGGTGAAGCATTTACAGATAAAAAATGTTTGTTTGTTTTTTTATCTTAGATGCAAAATGTAGATATTTTTGTACAGTTTTTGCTTAATTACTGCTCTGGCTGTGTTGTTTCAGAAAATGGCCTTTGCTTACTCTCATTAACAATTAATCCCTTACCTGCTGGTTGGAGTTAGCATCACTTAAACCAAATGTTTTTGACCAATTTAACTTTAAATTTGCAGTGAACTCACAATTATACATTAACGCAAAAAAAAAAAAAAAGATCAGTTGATTTTGCATGAAATCTTTTGCAAAAAAATGGAGAAAGTAAATTAAGAGGCTAAAATATCTACGACATAGGGCAGCACAATCATGATTGTAAAATCAGCGAGTGATATTTGAAGGACTGTTGAACTGTAAAGTGTTACGAACTTCATGCCAGTTGGACTGAATCTCACAGCACCAAAGACGAGAACATGAGGAAAGAAAAAAACAGCAATATATTTATAAATATATATATAATAATCACCAATATTATCGCCATTTCAAGAGTTTTTAATTCCAAGCAGCTCAATTTAAAGCACTGCTTAACTTTCTTTTTGTACCACAAATCACAAATATGACCAATGCAGTAACTGGAAAACTGCAATCAATCACATTAATGGCTGTGTTATGATTTGAGCAGAACTTTGATTCACTAATTCCTCATTTCATGACATTTTTACTGCATAATCCTGCTATAAAGTAACAAAGCAGATTTTTTGCAATGTGTTCTTTTCCCTTGGGAGTTGCATTGATTGGATAACGTCAGCATCAATACATTTAAGTACAGAGAGAATGTCTATCAAGCAGATTCAGACATTTACTCTGTGTTTAGCTCTTGAGTCTGAAAGCCAAACATCAGATCTTTGACTTTAGGGAGTAGATTCAAGATGCAAAGTTTGCAGCTTAAATTGAAGCACCCCAGTGCAGCTGCTCTGCACTCCACAAACAAGGCCGCAATTGTGCAAAGAGTCTAAAGAGATTTGAGTAATCATGTCACATACTAATCAGAATGGTGGAGGCTGAATAAAGCAGACACTAAGCAAGAGAAGTAGAACCAGAACAGAAATACATCAAGACAAAATCCTAATTACTCTCAGAAAACATTAGCAGAACATATATATGTCTGAATATAAAACAAAATAACAATACCTTAAATGTCTTAAGGTATTTCACCTTAGTGGTAAGAAACAGCATGTTCACAATGCCCACCAATTTCAACAAGTTACCTGTCTTCTGTAATTCTGATTCAAAAAAGAACTTTATGTTTACTAGACTATTAATTACTGTTTAACAATCAATGTTGCCTCCAAAGACAGTGGTGGAAAAAAAACTTGTAAAACTGCAACTTTAAATGCAATGCAGTTGAAGACTTTGGTGCAGATAAGCTAAAAATGTTAGTTTCACAGGCACAACTAGAGCAAACGTTTTGTCTAAAGTCCTGCAAACAGAACTACATAAAAAAACTCAGATGTAAAGAAAAAATGATCATATAGAAGTAGAGAAACTGTTGTCAAATAACTAGACAAATAGATGCTGAATTATATTGAATAATATGTTTTGTTTAAACTGTTTGTGAAACTTGTGTAAACATATAAATATTTTGTGATCATGATTCCAAAGCAATTGTTGCTCCTGTTTTTAACAGTCATATTTTTGTAATTTGATTCCAAAAACCATGCAGATTACAGAATGTGTTGCCTGCATCAATCTGCTTCTCAAATGCAACAGGATGCGCCATGTGACGGGTATCGAACCCACTTGCGTAACACAAAGTTTAAGTCAGTGGATCAAGTTTCAGTGAGTCGGAAAAAGGTGTTCTCTTACCTGGAAGAGGTGAGCCGGCAGAGATCACCGTTACCAACACTGTTATCCCCAGAAACGCTGCATACTGGTCACGCATCAGAGCCTGGAGCATCACCGCCAAACCCACAGCGGAGAGGAAACCTGCCATGGTATGGTGGTGCAAGCTTCAAGGCATTTCATCCGCTTAAGAAGTGAAGATTCATTGAATCAACCAACAGTGGCTTGAATTACTCCTTCAGGAGCATCCTTCTCCAGAGGTCAAAGGCTGCAGGGAGACAACACAGATGCAAACTGATGCTAAATGCTAAACTCCATGTGCTTTACAATCAAAATTACAGCCCCAGACAAACAATACAAGATCTGACAAACTGCATTTTTACAGTTTGTCAGATTAAAACCACTAATTTCAGTGAATTTCATTGGGATTTTATGTGAGAGATCAACAGAAAGCAGGAGAAAACTACAAAGTGGAAGGAAAAGAAAGAATCTTTTTGACCTTCCTAAAATAATGACCCATGTCATTTTGTGCCAAAAGTGACTTTTTTCTGCCTGAAACATCTTTCGGATAAAAAGAGGTAGAGACAATTTTTTTTTGACAAAAAATTACAGCGGCACCAAATTATTAGCCGATTATTTTAGGAAGATGACAAAATATAAACCTCTTTACTCTGATACCCCTAAATAAGATCCAGACCATCCAGTTCCCATTAGAGGTGACCTAACTGGGAAGCAGATTCTGCATGTGTGAAATTGAATCTGAGTCTTTTTTTTGTTTGTTCTTGTTTTTGTTTTTAGCTGTAAAATGTTTTTCCATTTTACAGCTAAAAAGACTTTCGCTTGTACTTTTTTCTTTTAAACAGTAATGATGCGTAGCTGTAGCAACAAGTGATACTTTTTCCAACTTTGAGCAGCTGATTAGCATCTTAAAAGCTAAAATAATTTCTGAACTCTGACCCAAAATCCCAGATGAGTTGAAAAGGAAGACCAAAGAGCAGAGAGAGCAGAGAGAAATGCATAGAGACTCAAAGGAGTGGCAAAAGCAAAGTAAGTGGATTAGCAGTGCTTGCCGAAAACTGATGGTATTATCCCAGACATGACAATGCTGTTTTTGCTGCTCCTATAATTAGCTGTTAGCATCTCATAATAATCACACAGCAACAGGCTTCAGTCAGAGGCCTGTTTATATTGGTGGAAAGACAGACTGCTACTGGAGCTCCTTCCTGCCTACATAGAGACAACATGCAAAAGAAGTTGTCTTCCATGTAGGACATAGGATAAATGATCCCCTTCCAGGAGGACAACCAGCCTAAGTAAGCGGACAAAGCTACAACTGATAGTTTGAATCAAAGCATATCCATGTAAAATGGCCTAGTCAAACTCCAGACAAACTGTGAATCAAAATCTTTGATACTGATATTCACAAGTGCTCTCCGTCCAATCTGAGGTAGGGATATTTTGGAAAGAGAAATGGCTCAATAACACAAAATCTTGATAAATAGATCAAATTTGGAGGCTTTAATATTCCCTCATTGCTCTGATGTCATGAACAAAATGAAACATCCTCCAGCATTGTTTGTCACAGCTGAACTTCTTTTGAACTTTTTAATTTCCCCACTGCAGCAAGTTCAGGTGAGAACAGATCTGTTTTACAACGTTCTATTGTGTTCCCCATTTTGAGGAATTCTATAAAGATATGCAGGTTTTTGGAACAGTTTCATGGTTTCCAGTCATCTCCAGCAGCGGCTAGCTCCGTCATCGAGACGCTTCAGCCTCCGTCCCGTTACTCGCGGCTTCGCCATCATGTGCAGCCACAAAAAAACTAATGTCCCCCCTTTGGGCGCCGCTGGAAAAGGCGAAGCGCTGGATAACCTCCGCGCTCGGGTGGTTTTCCCAAAGCTAGCTGGGATAACGCGGTGCCGTAGCTGCGCACTTACCCACGAACAGCGAGCTCCGACTCGGACAGTTCACGTGAAGGTGAGGAGGAAAGATCCTTGGAAAGAATAAAGTCCTTAATCTGAGGAGCTGAATGAGGACCCTGCTTGTTTTGAAGTTATTTTGGAGGACGCGTGTTGCTTCGGACCTGATAGCTCCTTGTGATGTGACACAATTTCAGTTACCAGTGACCCCCTCGCGTCCTGATTGGCTTAGCCCCGCCCCTGACAGTTCTGATTGGTCTCTTGCTAATCCAGTTCCCATTCTGATTGGCTGGCGCTCACATCGATCAGGTTTGTCTTTTAATATTAGGTTGGTTCTCCCGCACTGGCGTCTGCGGCTTCCACGGCAACGTTACTTCATGCAACGATGCATTAACAACCGGACATATTCGTGTCAGCTTTTTATCTGCTAAATTGGATTACCTTCCTTATGAGCCATTTAATGAGTCCTGATTTGTCTGCAGTCCTATATTGAAACTTTAAACTCCTTTATGTTTAACTTTTGAGCTCAATCACAATTTGAAGCTTTATTAAAACGCAACCTTTACAAATAGTGTGGGATTTTAAAAAATGAAGAATGATTGTTTATTTTGCTGCTTATTTCGTAAAACTGAGTCGCTCCAGAAAGCAGTGGCATCCAAACAGCGGTTTGCTTTCAAAGCCTGCAGAACTTGAGCCTGGAAGGTTTTTTTTTGTTTGTTAGTTTTTAATGAAATGGAGATAATCAACATAACGTCATTGTCATTTAGTGCAAGTTAACATTTTGGTGCGTGCTGACACCTAGTGGTAGCAAACAGGTCCTGCTAAGGTTTCAGAAGGACAGTCTGCATCCGAATCCAAAATCACCAAGTTAAAAGTAGGTCAAAGGTCATGTTTTCTTTTTCAATTCAGAATGCAAAATAATTTTATTGTAATCGTTAATTTTTGTGATTCAAACACACGCCGTGAAAACTGACAGATGTTTTCCTTAATAAAAGAAAGGTTTATGGGTTTTTAACTTTTAGGTTGAATATTTTCTATTTTGTTGGTTTATAAAATGTTGCCATCATGAATGTATGTATTTTGTTGATACCTACACACTGGTGTGTATTAATCTTATCTACATAAGATTAATTCACCTTTGTAAAAAGTTATCACATGCAGTTTCATAACAATGCTTGCGCTTGTATTTTTGAACATATTATAAAGGAAGACGCACCTGTCAACTTTTAAGGAAGCTTGAAACTTCCATTTTTGATAAAGTTTTATAGTTAAAACAGCAAAGTTTTCCCAGTTGGGTGCAGGCGTAGGGGCAGATAGCTGCCGATGGACAAACTGACCACTTTTCCTCACTTTCTTCTCCCATTAATCTCCAACATGCATTGTTTTTGTTATTCCAACTGGTAGCGTTGTAGTTTTTCTGGTCTGACGTTGTGTTTAGCTGTGAAATGGAGGGTCAGTTGAGATAATTCTGCCATTAACTAATTGTTCTCTCTCTTGTGTTGTTTTACTTTTCATGAGTGTAGACGGTTATCCTGTTTCAGTGAATCTGGTTCTTTTTGTGTCTGTGCTCCGTCTTCTCAAACCTTGGAAAGTGGCAGATTGTACTGGGCAAGTTTCTGGTTCTGCCTCCAACAGGGATTCTTCCTGTTGGATGGGAGTTTTTCCTCTCCACTGTCGCCACGTGCATACTCAGTATGACTGATTGCTGTCAACAACACAATGCAAGCGATTGTGAGTAAATGATATAAGTGAGTGACTCGATGCAAAACTTTTAAAACTAATTTGAATATTTTTTTCTTTCTGTAAAGTCCTTTGTGGCAACATTTGTTGAGAATTGTTGCTATAGAAACAAAGTGAATTGAATTGGACACATGGTGTGTGGTCGAATGAAAAAGTGGAGACTGTTGCCGTGACTTAACAGTTTAATGTAAATCCAAGACAAAGTGTGATTACATTTCTACACATATACAATATGCATATGTGAGCTTACAAATTCTCATTAACTCGATTCACCTCTGAGACCCAAAAAATGATCAAAAGTAACAGTGAATAACAAGCTAGAACATAGTTCACCACAACGCGAGCCCCTTCTCATCCTACAGTTAGAAAGGAGGACAATTAAAATGACTATTCTCTTCTATCTGATGCTGCTGTTTGTCTAATAAAAGACCTCCTGTAAAATTTACAATTGTGTCATTAGTTTTTCAAAGCCTAATATAAATTCACTCATTTTTTCTACAACGAAAATGATTAAGAGAAGCACACAATATCCTAATGGAAAAACACAAGCGCTTAGTAGCATGTAGTCAACGTGTTAGGAGGTTTAAATAATCCTCTTTTTCTCATTGTCAATATTATATTTATTTTAAAACATTCTATAAAGCCAGTAAAATATCCATTCTCATAACATACTTGATAATATTAGGCTAAGGAACAGGGTATACATAAAACGCTACAATAACAGATTGAAATAAAGAGACATCACTTCCCGATAAACAAAACTAATAAAGAAAAGACCATCAACAGAGATGTATACTAGGAAATACTGCAGCACACATTAGCTTCATTGACAAAGAATTAAATATCACAACATTGAGAAACCATACAGCAATAGACGCAAAAAAGGGGGTCAGGGTTTGATGCGCTCCTATTCTCGGTCCTTTGAATGTTAACTTATTATTTACCATTCATAGTTACTAGGGAATATCTGAATCGGCCAATTTCTTCCTTCACAAAAAATAAAAAATAAAATTATTAAACAGATCAAAACTAAGAGCTTTCATTACTTTCAGTCCACAGACACAACAGCAGGTATTTTCCTAACTTTTTTAGATTAAAATAAACATCTGATAAAGATTACAAACACAAGTTTTATGCATAGATAAGAAAAATCCCATATATTAAATTACATTTTCTGTTGGAATCAAATCATCTCTACTTCTATCAAAGAATCTGAAACTTTTTTTTTCATTTTTTTAAGTGTAGTAGTCCCCAGAAAACAAAATAAAATTCGGTACCGCTCTGATTTCTGATGTAAGCTGAATATTTTCCCAAAGAAATTAAAAAACAAATAAAAAGCTTTTCAAATCTAATTCTAGCACATTCAAGTTCTTCATAAAAAACAATAGATGGTATGTACAATAATTCTGTTATCAAATCAGGACCTAAGTTACTTCAAGTAAGCAGTTATTTCTCTTTAGCAGGTTTTGTACACAATAATTATAACTGGAGGTGTTAAAAAAAATTTAATTTGAATCAGTCAATGAAGGCATCAAACCATGACCACCCAACCCTGAATTCCCCCGAGGAATAACCAGCGAAAGGAATAGATCAAATTAACAAAAGGGTTAAATAATAATAATAATAATAATAATAATAACATGTATCCAAAGGGGTTTTGAGAATGTTTGTGTAACTACATTATGCATTTTTCTGTGACATAACGTATCTACCTGCACACCTGTCTTCATCTCCTTTGACCTTTGGGAAGCAGCTGCAGCTCCAGCCAGGTATTTCTACAGTGCAGGTGTTGCAGGTGTGTTTTTAACGAGCTGCAAGTCGTTGCAGAATGACTGCTGCGAGTAACACTGTCAGGAATGTTTGTCTGGATGAGCAACACCAGAAGCAGGACTGGAAGTTTGAGCGCTTTTCGACAGGAGGACGACAGAGAGATGGACACGCTGCCTTGTTTCAGTTTCCACTAATTAAAATGTCACCTTTTAAAGCTTTGGAGGTATCGTTGGTTATTTGGAAGGCAGTAGTCAACATTAATGTTGCTATCTGGGAAGGCTGTACACACCTCAGCAACACCGAAAATTTTTAAACACTACTTAAGCACGTTTTGGTAATTTTAAGGGCACTCTATCTACGATGATGCTCACTTTTCTGACCCTCTTTTTCTTCAGTAATCCATAAAATGTTGGTTATGTGAAACAGAAACAGACAAACATATCATACAAATCAACTTCCACAGTGTTGTTTCATTTTGAAAAAATAAGACCATTTATATATCCTAATTATGATAATAGGCAACATTACATTGTTGGTTTTTAGTGGGGTTTTGATGGGAACCAGTTGTATAGTTATTGTGCCATGCATGAGTCACAAATTAATAAAATAATCACCCACCGAGAAATCTAAAGCCATGACAGATGTGGATGGGTCACATAATGTTACATTCGTTTTGTGCAGGTGACCATGATTTTTAAAGGTATGCTTCAGACATTTTGGGTTATTCATTTTTGCAGGTCTTCTCTGAAACCTTTTAAAATTAGCTTTCCTACCACAACAATAAAGCTAAAACATTAAAAACAGAAAACAACAAGAGAGAAAAGGCATGATCATTCATTTCTGGTTTCATTTAAACGGGTAAAAAGCGTGGAAGAATTCAAAATAAGAACAGAAGAAAGATGTTTTGAAACAGCGCTGTGAAAAAGTATTTACCCCTTTTATTCTGTTTTTGTTTTTTAATGTTTCAGGTTATCAGAAATATCAACGATAATCAGAGTAAATACAAACAGAAGTTTGCAAAAAATTATTTGAAACATCATCTATGAAGGGAAAATGAAATTATTTGAGCCAAATTGGAGGGTATTTGTGCATGAAAGGTCAGAGGCTCCGACTCCTGACAATTTTGGAAAAGATCCCACCAAAGTAGGCGGAGCTAAGGTTTGCTGAGGGGCGTGGCCAAGCGTGGGCTTGAGTGGAGGGGTGTGGTCTCGACAGAAAAAGTTCTGTTGCTACCTTATCTACTTTTTCTCTATATTTAATGACTTTTCAGATGCATCCAGCAACTTATTTTCAAAACGTGACTGACATCAAAAGTAGTGACTTTCTTACCGACTTTCGACCATCAGCCCCTCCCACTTCCTACGCACTGAAGTCTCGCTAACAGTCGTCATGCAGGAAACCGACCTGCCACAACATCTCTACTGGACTTCAGTTTGGACTTTGGCCAGGCTACTCCAGCCAATCACAGGTTGATTTGCTGTGTTTTGGATCATCGTCCCACTTCATAAATCTAGTTAACCTGAACTAGCAAACACGGTTTTCACTAGAAAACAGAATTCATGGTCCCACGCTGCAAAAACACAAATTCTTACCAAGTAATTTCTGTCTCGTTTCTACTGCAAATACCTCAGTGCACTGGATATAACACAAAACAAACTTGCAAAGAATTTTTCACCAAGATATAGGAGCTTGTTTTAAGTCAATAATTGATGAAAAGTTCTGGTTCTGTTGGCAGATTGCCTCACTGATAAAATGTTTTATCAGTGAACAATCTGCTTCCATATTTTGTAAGTTAGTTCTGTGTTATTTCAAATGGACTAAGATATTTGCACTAAAAGTAGAGCAAAAATATATTTTTTGTTTTTTGTAGATGTAAGATGGGCCTTCATGGTTTTAACCTTAAACTCTCCCTTAGAAACCATTTTGACTTATTTTTTCCTACTTCTGTCAGTTGGGTTCTGTTAAAATTATTTCTTATTCTGGTAATAATTACACAATCAGGTCGACAGGGAAATGAGCCAAAAAAAAATGTGGCTGATAGGCAGCCATGTTGGTTGGGACAGTTTTAAAGCTGTTCATGTTATCTTTTAAAATATTTTAGTGTGTGGAGAAAATAGAAGATATCTACCAAGGGGTAACTGCTTTATCATGGCGTCGTAGATAAAAGTCCACAAAGAAACACCTGTGCTGTATGCATGTTAAATCCTCACACACATGCGTTTCATAGAGTGAAATCCACACTTTATGAAGCGTTTGAAGTTATTGCCTGGATATTCTGGCAACAATGAGGAGGATTGCTTGTTCTGTGCTGTGCATGGTCGATCTCGTTAAAGTCTTTGGTGCCTCATGCTGACGGGTGTGGACAGTAGTTGTGATATTCCCTCAAAAACAGTGGAATGTTTCAGTAGTTTGATTCAGAAATCCTCCAAGTTATGCACGTGTGCTCAGACCTGAACGACCCAGAGGAAACGAAGGAGATGAAACAGAAAACAACAGAACAGAGATGCCTGATGTAACCAGCGACATGTCATGTAATCACATCTTCAAGTACCTGGACCCGAGGCGTTAACGGGGAGCAGAAAGTACCAGGATGAAAGCCGACTCCAGAGGGCGGCTGGATTACCCGAAAGCAGGCTTCTGAAAGCGCCCCAGTGGATTATCATCAGCCTGCCCGCTTCTCTACCCTCAGCAGTGTTTCAACACTTTACACAGGTGCACCCACCTTCACCCAGTACGAAACATCACTGTACACCAGGTTACAAAACCCACATAAGCCCGACATATCATAAAAACACGCATTTTGATAAAACGTCCACAAGAATTATTGCAACAATCTCTAAAAAATAAACACAAGTACTACAGCCATGTAAAAGAAAATGAAGATAAGTTAAAAAGAGAAAAAAATCACTTCAAATGCAAGTACTATGGCATACCAAGGAGGAGGGCAGAAGGCTTTGACTAGACCACCAGTAGTTCTGATGTGCCCATGTTCATTCAGTAGGGCAAATGGTTATTTATGCTATTGGCTAAATAAAATCAAGCAGCAAACACACAAAGCGGCAGCCCTATTGGTTCTCTAAGTGTTCAGGCATCCCCGCCCCGTCGGCATGGCGATATTCGTGGTGTACCTGGATCGAAGACAAATGGACAAAAACATCCATAAGGCGCCCCTTCCAGGTGCATGCGCGTCCCGTTTCCCGTCCTGCAGCGCCGCTGCTAAAGCCACGCTCGCATCATCAGAGCTCACAAACAATATGTCAGATACTCAGGAGCGCCCGCCGGCAGGCGAGGCAGCGCCCGCCGCGCCGCCAGGCGAGGGCGCGACGAGGGCAGCGCCCGCCGCGCCGCCAGGCGAGGCAGCACCCGCCGCAGCTCAATGTATCGATCAACCTGCTCATTGCCAACTTACAACCATTTTAAGTCCCTTTTAAGATAGAGAGTTCCCCCCGTTCCTGAACGGGCCCTACGCTTCCAACCACCCCCTTTCCTTCACCCCGCTCGGTTTCTCTTCCAAACATCCCTCTGTGCTCTGTCTGCTGATCTACCTCATGGCAACAATCACTTTCTGTCAGGCCCTTCTCTCAGACTAGCTCTTAACCTTGAAAAATACCAGTGCATCTCAAGAAATTAGCATTTGTTGAATAAGAGAGTGATTTATTTCTGTAAAGTGTAATGATTATGACTAATAGAAACTCACAAAATCAAAGGAAAGATGGCTAATTTAGTCAGCCAATTAGAATATTGGTGGAAAGTTGAGTGGAAGAAAAAAGACTGGTTAAAAACATAATGTTTTCAAGTTATTTTTTTGAAAGCAAATTTGAGATTTATTTGAAAATCAACATCCCAGAGTCTGGAGGAAGTTAGAACACACATTTTAGCTTTTTATAGTCTAGTTTCATTTTCTGACAGGACGTGTACATGACCACACTACAAATATCTGTTTTAATGTCTGTTGTATTACTGTGCTAGATTGGCCACACTTTTTCCTTTCACTGCGTTTTCTATGAATAAGCTTGGTACAGCAAAATTTCTGTGCTATATTTTACCCTCTTTGTAGTGAGTATTCATAGCAGTTTTCTCCATGATTATGTATAAAGTTTAATTTTCAAAAGTCTGTTTGTTTGATACTTTATAGTTTTCTAAAAGATTCAATTTTGGGTTTCATTTGCTGCAAGCCATAATCCTTATAATTAACAAAAAGAAATGACTGAAATATAAAATATTTTTGAGGTTTTTTTGAACATTCTGTCATAATCTAATTTACTGAGATGCACCAAAAACTCTATTGTGTCTCAAACTTTATCCTGCAACCTCGAAACATCTGAGCGAATGTCTGCGCTTCCTATTCGTGACGCACGTTTTCTCATGTGATTAGCAGAAAACGAGGAAAACAGCTACAGCTTCACTCTACATCTATCTTTTTATATTTACATGAATTTCCAGAGCGAAGTGTAACATGACTTTATCTCTGACTTTGGTAAAAAACCCAGGCAAATTATCTCATGCACACACAACAATAACAATTAAAAAAAAAAAACAGCTCGGCGTGATTTCTGCTTTGACATTAATCTTCATCTGCGGGACGCTGTGGTTGTGAAACAGCAAGGGCTGAGCCTACACCTGGAAGAAACCTACAAATGTCCCGATTAAGATGTGAAACCGGGGAAAATGCGTCACGCTAAGTTTAGCCGTAGTCTCTCGCGGCTTTCGGGACCCAAACCGAGTAAACTGTGTCGGTAAATCTGTAAGGCACTACGAGGGAACGACGATCGACATCTAAAGACTTGAGGAGGATCCTGTGGAGATGAGCTACACACGCATGGCTGACAGTAGCACACAGACAATCACGTTGTACATGCCTATGTTATTATAACCACTTTGTGCAATCACATTGAAGAAGAAAAAATAACAAATAACTCTATTGGTATCAAGGGAATTAAAAAAAGAAATAAAAACAGGTGCATACTGCTACATTCTATACACGGGGCCCAGCTAAGACACCTAGATCAAACTGAAGGTGGAAAAAACAAAAGAACAAATATCTATAAATACACTAAAAGATTGGTTAGATTTCCAGTTCCCTCCTCTGCTGGAGGAGGCGGAGTGGGTGGGGTTTCCTCTCTTCGTTTTCACCCCAAGCCTCCGCTGATTTGGAAATACTAAGACAGTTCAAGGCCATCAGTATTTTTTTTATCTTTGAAGAGCAGCAGGTTTCCGTATTTCACCAAGTCCCAAAGCTTTTGGGAATTCAAACTTCCAGTCAATATCTCCCCACTGTTCAACAGTCCCAAACATATTCAGGCGGGGGACGGGAGAGGAGAGCAGGGAAAGAAATGAAATAAATCTCAAAACATCCACTGTCCTCGAAACTTCCCCCATAAAACTAACGAGACATTGCTTCTTTTGTAAAGGAAAGCGAAGGGAGGGAAACAAAAGCAGAACTGGCCCTTTTCTAGGGGTTAAATCGTCAAAAGAAGAAAAACAGTCGCCATAAATTTTCTCTTCTCCAGAGGATCTGAGTCACGTTTCCTTCTGTTCAGTCATTCCTTCTTCAAGTTACACATGACAGCTTCATGAGGGTTGCATGTTCCTCTGTCTCTGTTCATGTCTGAGGTCGAGGAGAGGATGGGATGGAGGATGAACACTGCAAAAACACAAAATCAACCCAAGATCCAGTTGCTTGTGCAAATATCTTAGTAGAGCTGAAACAAGGCAAAACTAACTTAGATCTAACTTTTCAGCAAGATAAGGGAGCTTATTTTCTTAAATTTATTTAAAAAGTACCAGTTATAAGTGGAAAAAATAATTTTATCATATTTATAATATAATACAGGAAAAGTGTTTTGCTTTTTTACTCTTACTTCAGTCATTTCTCAACTACTTTTTACTTTTATTTGAACAAGAATTTGTTGAAGTGCTGCTAGTCTCAATAATAGTAATTAATTACTGAACAAGCTCCTATTTTGTGCTGAAAAGTTACTTGTAAGTTTTATTTCAAGGGTACTATATATATTTGCACCAGAAACTAGACTAAACATTCTTGGTGAGGTTTTGTGCTTTTGCAGTGCAGGAAGCAGCATCGCTGGGTTGGGGGTCGGGCCCCTTCAGTGTCAGTCCGGCTCGTCTCTAGAGGTAAGGATACTGGTTGACCTTGGTGGGGCTCAGTGGGTATCCAGTGTAGACAGTGGAGGCGGGTGAGGCGCTGATGTAGGCCTGATGGGCGAACTGGGCCTGGTACTGGCTGTGGTGCATTGTGGGCGATGGCAGCACGCGGTGGCTCACGCTGACCGGGACCTGGTGGACGATGCTGGGGGGGTAGCTCCCGTGCTGGACGGCGTGGCGCGCCGAGCCCTGCGATGCCACCAGGTGAGCCACGGCGCCGGTGGAGCCCAGAGCGGCGGGGGCCGTGTAGGTGTACAGGTGGGGCTGGCTGGGCAGGTGGGTGGTGGCCAGGTGCGGGTGGACGCCGCCCGTGTGGGAGGGGCTGTTGTGATGGAAGGAATACGGGGCTTGAGCGGCGATGTTGGGGGTGATGTAGGCCTGCTGCCGGCGGTGTCCCGCGTTTCGCTCAGCCACCATGTGCTGCTGAGCCTGAAATAACAGACGAACCAACAGAGTTCAGTCCTATTATACTTCTACGGTCTGTACAAAACATGATCATTGCATGTTTCACACAAAATATGAGCTGCTTGGGGTCTCTGTGGCCACGCCTAAGAACTCAACATTTACACTCGCAGGAAATGCTGCTGCTGACGTGTTTTTAAGTGTTTGGACTGTTTTCAGAAGCTGCAGAAACCAAAATAGAAGCCTAAAAATGAGCAAAGTGTGAATTCTGCGTAAAACGAACACTGTACATATTGCCTTGATGGGGCATAATCAAAACAATATTGTAATGATCTGTTACATTGACTGTTTGCTGTGTACTGTACCTGGCTGAGATTGAGTGGCTGCTGCTGAAGGGGGTGTGGTCCTGAACGCTGCTGCCGATAGGCCACGCCCCCCGCCACGCCTCCTGGTATGTGATTATTGCCCGTTGTCACTCCATTGGAGGATTTAAACTTGTAAGCTATATTCTGATGATTCAGTCCATCTGTTCAGTAGAAAAATAAATCCATCTGTTCACCTGCAAAGCAGCAACTTTTCCCTCTGTATCTGAATCATTAAAGCGCCGTTTACCTGGCATCAACCGCTCACATTCGCTGGACACCTCAGTGTTCTGCGTCTTGAGCGGAGGGATGATGATTGTGCGAGGGTTCCCATTGTTGTAGTTGTCCAGGATGGTGGTTTTCGTGTCGTAGTTGTTGTTGTTGTGGTTGTGGGGTCTTGACTCCAGGCTATAGGGGCTGTTGTGGCTGGAACAGTCTGACTCTGGGGAATCATGGACCGTCACACAGCTGATGACGTTCTTTCTGTGCTTGGAGGATGAGCTGCAGAAAACAGACATAGATAGTTAGGAGGAATGTTGAACTCATTCTGCATTTTGTTCCCACTCTTCAAATAGGAAAGAAAGAGAGGAGGCGACTATTCATATTGTTGGAAGTTGCTATGAATTTTTAATGATTTTGGCTCATTTTTGGTTTTTTTTGTTGCATCTTATTGTGGATATTTTAAACATCTTCTAATTCCAGTGTTATGGGTTCTTTACTAAGTTAAAGTTTATTGGTGTTTCAGAGGGCCATAATCAACATGTTACTTGAAAATTCTCTCAAAACATTAATGTTATTGTTATTAATGAGACATTTTAATGTACAGCAAGATTTGTAAATAAATGAATAAACCTAAAATCTGATCGGTTTTCTGAATTATATTGCAGTTTCCTGCCCAAACGGACCCGTTGTTCTGCTTCTGGTCGTCGTCCTCTGAGTCGCTGCTGATGGTGATGATGCTGACGGTGGGGCTGGGCGTGTCGGGGATGATGATGGTCTGTCTGGGGACGTGGTGTTGGTGCTGATGGTTGCGGGTGGTGCTGGAAGCCTGTTCTGCTTCGTTGGCGCCCCACCCTCCTCCGGCGCAGCCCTGCGTCGGAGGGCAGTGGGACGCCGACCCGTTCTGTAGCACGGCGCAGCGAGGGGGCGTGTTCTCCTTCACCCGCTTGGATCGCTGCGGCGACAGCACCATCTGGGAGGATGACACCTCATAGGTCGACACGTTCCTTGGAAAAACAGAGGTGGAGGAGAGATCAGGCCACTGATGCTGAAGTTTCAGGAGCATCAAAGGGGCAGTATGATATACGTAGTAACGTTTCATAGAACAATGAAGTAACAGTGTTATCTTCAGTTGTTTTAAAAATGTTTTAAAATATGACTTAAAAGAAATTATATTTCATAATTTAAGAGACCTTGAAATTGGGTCTATGTCTCTTTAAAAACGTCTGCTCTTTCTGAAACTCTGCATTTAGGAACTCATCACAGCTGGCTCCTCTACCAAACCTTTAACTAAACTTTTACCAGCATTGATCTGAACCGTAGCTCCTATGATGAGCTCAGCAGATTGCTGCTGGCTAGTCTGAAGGAGCAGTGTGGGATAGTTCAAGGGATAGTGCTGCTCTGTGAGCCAGAAGCTTGTAAGCTTGGAAACTGCAGCTGTGAGGAGGAGCTACGTCTCGAAGGCGGGGCTCGGTCCAGCCAGGCGTTTTGCACAGCTGAATGGTTGCCAGGGAGATTAAATGATTCCTCAAACGTGCGTGAAAAAAATCCAGGTATATTTTTGACGAGGGAAGCAAAACAGGATTTAAAGCTAAAAAATTGATATTATATAATAATGCCCCTTTATCACTATAAAGTCCTTTGAAAAGGCTTCATCAGCAGTTTGCATACCTGGTCAACATCTGGTGCTGTTTGGTCTTTTTGGAAGAGGAGTTGTTATTGGTGGATGACTGCCTCATGACATGAGCCACGCCCACATTGAGAGTCTGGTTTGATGGGAGTGTGACGTGACCAGTCAGCAAGGCCGGCTGCTGCATGATGGGATTATAATGGCTCCCGTGAGGATGGGAATTCCTGCAGAATGACACACATTCATCTCAATCAACTAGAATAGTAGCTATTTAATTTTAAGAAGCGAAACAAACATATAAATGCATTAATTCCACATTGTTAATGGTAGACTACACGTTAGCTTAGCGCTTTGTGCTAACATGTGGTTTCCCCAAACTGCATTTTTCTGGATAAATTCATTCTGAATTTACTTGGCTGTATTGTAAGCTTCCACTTGAGTAAAGTTTTATTTGTGTTAAAGTTCTGGTTTTTGATTGAGCACTAAGAGCCAACAAGAAAGATCTACTGTTGTGTGTTGTTGGCACTAACTTTATGTAACTTATTAGTTACGTTGAGGCCTTTTTTACAACATGAACTCACAGTTGTAGCTCATGTCATGGCTACATCTCTGACTACCACATTTTTTTTCTTCCACTAATCTTTCCATTAATACACTTCTTTCTAAGAATGATTGTCTGTGGCTTATATACTCCTTGTTTTATTTTACTTCAATTTTTTTATTGGCTTTCTTAAGCTGAAAGCCATAATTGCTAAAATTACCAAAGGAAAACTATATGAGTTAAAAAATGTTAACTGAATTGATCAAATAGATTTACTTTTTCAATTATATTTTATTGTATTCAGATGCATGTTAAGAATCTGCAGAAAAAGTGTCAGATCAATCTGCAAAATAATGATATAAATCAGTAGACATTGGCAAGGACACAGTATTTCACAGTGAAGCCAGTAGGTGGCACTGGCTCTCTTTTCTGAAGAGGCTAAAAAACAAGAGGACAGAGCAAAGAGGGAGGGCAGAGGAGCTGACACCAGCAGCTGTGGAGCGATAGCTCTGCAGAGGAAGTGCGACACTTTCCCGATCTTCTCTCTGAGGACCACAGAGCTGTGACTGGACAGGAGGGGAAGGAGTGGCAGGGCGGGGGCTGCCTTCCCAGACAGACACCCTGAATGGATTCAAACAGGCATGCACATTGTATATCTGTACATATATGTCCCTCTGACCCGCTTCCATCTAGCCTCCCATTCATCAATTAACTTCAGTGACAGGCTGCACCCTGCATGGCGACTCGATCCTCCATCCAGCACATGTTCTCATTTCAAGATAAAGTTACAAAAGAAGCAAAGATTCCCAAGTTAATGCATCAAAAAATACAGTTCAATTCTTATATTGTATTATAAATACCGCGTTAGAAAATTAGTTTTAAATGTCAGATAGCACTGTGTCTTAAAACGCTGCAGTTTGAACAGAGGAATTTTCACGGATATCAAGAACTTTCCAAACCTTGAGAACACCTCATTGAAATTCAATCATTTCCAGGGATTTCAGTCACCTGCATGAACTGTGCAGAAACTACTGAAGTGTTTACCTCCAGTTGGCGAGAGTCTGTGTGCTGCCCATGGAGTCTGGGATGACGGTGGCGTGCTGGACGGAGGTGTGGGTGAGCTGCTGCCACGCTGGAGGCAGCAGGATCTGCTGGGTGCCGCTGGGCCAGGCCTGCTGCAGAGAGAGAACCCGGGTCAGAACAACCATTTAAAGGTCACAACAAGGAGACTGAAAACTGAAAACTGGTCAGGTAATATACAAAGTGCAGAGAAAGTGCTCCTTTAAAAAATTCAATGTATTTTACTGGCATTTGAAGTAATACAAACACAGAGCAATGCATAATGTTTTACAGTAAACTAATCCTAGCATTACATAAAACATGTCTTATTGCTGGGCATTCAATACAAATACACACAACTTATTTATTTTACACATGTCTGGATATAACATGCAGGCCTAATTAAGCTACTGCCAGAAACAAACTGAGTTATCAGAGGTGACAGAAAGATGGATGGAGATAAATCCAGATAAATCCCATAGGATAACCTGTTAGAGGCTGCAGGAACACCATCCTAAATACACAGACAGAGACGATATGGGACAGCTTCCATCCTAGTCAAAGTCCTGACATTAATACAATGACGAATCTGGAACAAAACCTGAAAACTTAAGTTCACAGAGGCTCTCCTCCAATTCAAAACAAGGAAGTCCAAAAGTCTGTGAAGTGTTGATCGAACATCAACAGGCAGGAGCAAAAATCCGACCGTTTTTATTTTTATGTTGGTTAGCTGAAATGTTTTAAATAATGTAGAATGAGAAAATGATGGTTTCTTTTCAAAAAGCACAAGTGGAAACATTAAACTCAAACTAGAGTAGCTCGAGGGCAAATATCTGATGAAGTTTGTCAATTTGAGGGAGACATCCGTGAAGAGGAGAGCGCAGAGCTGGACCTAATAAAGATACCTCAGATCCTTTCTTTGAGTGTGTGTGTGTGTGTGTGTGTGTGTGTGTGTGTGTGTGTGTGTGTGTGTGTGTGTGTGTGTGTGTGTGTGTGTGTGTGTGTCTGGGTGCGAACATGAGCAGCTGAGTGTGTGATGCTTGCCTGTGATTATGTGTGTGATGTGTGTCAAATCAACCAGCGCTCTAATTAGATTCCTACCTCTCTTCAGGTTGCTCTGAAAGAGCCATCTTTGAATTTCTTATGCAGAACCAGAGACCTCGCGGGCGTAATCTGCCTGCAGATGTGCCATGTGTGTCTGAACACGCCTGTGTGTGTTTGTGTGTGTTTGTGTGTAGTCCTAGCAGTTTAATGCAGCTCTATTGATTAGCACTTTAATGTCAAGGCTAATGAATTGTCCCTTTAATATTGTTTATGCATCTATTTACAACACCATCAGTATGTGTTGCAGAATGTCTTCAGCTCTTTTTCTGCTTTGCAGCCACAGCTACATGTTTCAGATCATCAACTACTTTCACTTTAAGACAACCTAAGTAAATACAGAATGATGATTTCATTCATTTAGAGAAAAACATCCATCAAACCCACTAACTAACACATTTAGAGGTTCTGATTTCATCATTGTCTGATTTTGATGATATAAAATATTTGATAAAAAAAACCAAAACACTTCTTTGAGGCGTTGATTCTGTACGGTAATCTTTGGATGTGACTGGTTTGTTTTTGTGTGTGAGGCAGGTTGCACAGAGCTGAAGGTTAGGGGTGGAGTTGGTGCAACATGGCTGCTTTGTCTCAGCCATAATGACTGACATCTCTAATGGAACATTCTGGAGATGTCCTTTACATCCCGACCACATCCAGGCCCTTTTATCAGCAGCCCATTAACAGACTCTAATACGTCCAGCCCGTCTCCTGCTCACTCTATCTCCATTCCTGCCACTCTGCATGCCTTTCTCACGCGCCGTCTGCGTTGTGTAACTGGCTCGTCTGCCCTGAAATGGTAACCCAGTTAAGAGGTTGTTTTCTTTCTCCTCAGAGCCCACCATCACCATCAGCGGCCCACCGCCTCCCACCGCGACCCGAACTGCCTGGGAGAAACCCTTTGTCACCTCAGGCCTTTCAAAGCCTGGGCTCTCACTCCCCAATTGTTTCCACATTTTCTGCATTCCTGCTCCAGATAAAGGTCCCGCTGGTTTCCCTGCCTCCCGGCTCAGAGCCACTCACCCCCGACCTTCGCTGCACCCTCTCTCTTCATCTCTCTCCGTTTCTGCGCAGCCAGGTGCTTGAGACCAACCTTGGCTTGGCTCAAGGTGGGCAAAGAGTCCGTGGGTAACAGTAAACAAGCAGGAGGCGAGCTCAGACCTCCCACAGCAGAGGAATAAATACACTCACCACATACCCAGTTATTAGGTGTTCTGCTCACTGGCCTGTAAAAGCCATCTGCTTCAGTTAACTACTGCCTGTCTTTGTTTAACATGTGTGCAGACGGAGGTGACAAGGAACACCTGCAGGCACGGAGGAACAACATTACTGCAACATAAGATTGTTTGTTTTTTCAATTTGAATCATTATTTGGTTGGATCTTATGATGGAATATCAGGCCCACAGTACAAGAAAATAAAAAATATATTGGCAAGAATAAAGCCACAAAATTATGAGAATAAACTGAAAACTTACATACTTATAAAGCCATGTGTGAATAAAGTCACATCAGTATGAGAATAAAGTGGGAATAATATAAGAAAAAAAGTCATATTTTGAGAATGAAGTCGTAATATGACAGTCAGAACTGTGACGATGATGATGACGATAATAATAATAATAATAATAATAATAATAATAATAATAATAATAATAATAATAATAATAATAATAATAACAATAATAATAATAATAATAATAATAATAATAATAATAATAATAATAAAATAAATAAATTAAATGGTTGGTTACGAGAATAAACTCATAAGAGAAAAAGTTATAATATTATGAGAATAATGTCACATGAGCATAAAATCAAGATAATACGAGAATAAAGTTGTAAAAATACAAGACAAAAGTTAATATTATGAAAATAAAGTCACATTATTCCAAAGAACAAACTTATACAAAACTAAAGTCATAACATTATGAGAATGAAGTCTTACTTTATGACTTTTTTGTTATTTTATCACAACTTTATTCTCAAAATTTTATTTTCTTCGTGAGGCCCTGAAACCCCGTCCTAGGCCTGGTTGCTGGAAGGTTGCTGACTTTTTGCTGCCTCACCCGAGCTTCTCCCTGACCTCTGGAGATCCTGGGAGGCCTGTAATTTGGAGCGCCTGACTTGGAAGCAGCCATGGAGCTAATCACCATTTGGTATCTGACAGATTAACTCATCGTAGAAACACACGCACGTGCACAGGCGAGCGACTGCAGCTTCGCTCCTCGCATGCCTGCCTACTGGATGATTAACTAGAGATAAGGGAACGATTTAAACTCCGAGGATTCTCAGGGATATTTAAAGCCTGCATGGAAATTTCCATAGGGAGAACGATGCGGAGCGGGGATGTAAGTCACCGGCAGTCTTTCTGTGCAAGCAGGAGTCGCTGCAGCGGGAGCAACTGGAGCTTCAGGACCTTTCCAGAGTGAGGATGGAGAGCAGAGGGGGGCGATGACCTGAACGCACTCAGGCACAACCAGCTGCCGGCAGGCACCGTGTTTTCCTCCCCCAACCAGAGACCCCACTGAGGGATTGTGGGAAAAAAGGAACCCAACGACTGAACGCATTTGAATGTCATGACGCTAACTTATCAAGCTTTATCTGCTAAGATGAAATAAAAAATGTAAGTTAATTTCAAAATTAGGTTATATTCAGCATCTTCTGTTTCGAACCGTTATCTTAATGCCATAATACTTATTTGTTTATTTATTAGGCTCCCCATTTGTTTCCACCACAGCGGAAAGCTCATCTACCTGGAGTCCAATTGATTAAACCCAAATAATATTCATGCAACAAATAAGATCATTTCAACATTAACACATAATATCATAAATTTAGTCAAACATTATACAAACTACACACATGAATCCAGATTTTTTAAAAATGGGATTAAATAAAAATAACATTTCAGTGCTGCTTTAATTAAAAAATCCTGTTTTTATGTGATTTATTGTATTCCTGAATTGCTCTAAGTACAACAGATTTTTGTCATTTTCATAATGAGTTTGTATCTTTTACTATGTTTATCTGTCAGCTCTTTTACTACTAATGAAATCTTGGAACCCAATAAGTCCCAAAAAACTCATAACGTCTCGTTTCATAATTTTTTTATTCAAATGCTTTAACTTTTCAAACTTTTGTTTTGTGCAGTAATCATCAAACTGTGTTATCTTGTATGTTTTTCTGCTCTGATGCAAAAACCCAATCGACTACGAAACTAGCAGCCTGTAAAAACTGTCGTGACCAAAGGTCATTTTCTATGTTTATTCTAAAACAGAATGAAACTTCAAAACATATAAAGTCAATCTTTAAGAAGAATCATGCATCATGTCTTCGATGTGTGTTTTTTTTAACAGTCACTGTTTAGTGTAAATATTGGACTGTTTTGTAAATCGGTAAGTCTCTGTGTCTATTAATAGGACGTGATGTTGCATATCTGTGTGTTTTATGTTCTGCAGAAGAAGAACCTGCTGTGAAACAGTAATTATGCTGAGCCGGGCCAGATTTCTGTTGATCTTTTCCTGTTTAAAAATTAAATACAAAATAAATAAATAAAGATAAAATGTGGGAATGTGCCTTTACCTGTGTGAGGAGGCCGGGTTGGATCTGCAGAGGTTGGGCACCAGGAGCCTGCGTCACTATGGGAACCGCGTTCTCCATCCTCACAGAGTAACTGGTGTGCTTGGAAGGGGATGCCTGCAAACCTGGTCATGAATCAAACACAAGCGAAGAACGTTATAAAAATAGCATGAAAGGAACTCAGAACATGACTTCATATCAGATCAGAGATAAAATAACTCAGAGTTTATGCTTAAAACATTTCTGCATTGTGCGCTGAAATCATAAAGAGGAAATAAAATTATCATTGAAAAAATGGTTTCTTGCATCAAAAAGTTAAACTCACATATTTATACATCATGCAGTGAGAAAATTAAAGCATTTATTTCTGTTCATTTTAGTAACTATGGCTTAAAGTAATTAAAGCAAATAATTCATTTTCTCATTAGATGTTCGCATCTTGACCAAAGTCTTCCCTGTTTCCTGTAAAATCTTTCTTTTGACACAGTTTTTCCTTCCACTGAACTTCTGCTTGTCTCCAGCACTCTGTGAACTGCCAGTTTAAATCGTAATGACCTTTCATAGCTCACTCTACTGTTGGGTGAAGTTAATCCACTACTAGAGTGGATTAACACTAGTTGCTTTCACTGTTGCACTCAACAGTCCTTCACATATGAAAGCAAATTCAGCTTTCATTTGCTTTTTTGTTGCACTGAGATGTTTCTATAAATACAAAACATAGTTCTGATATTCTGAAGTTTTGCCATGCTACTGTTAACGTGGTTACCTTGGAATCCCGGCGGGCAGACGATGAGCGCCTGCTGGAAGGGGTCGGGCCGAGCGGCGCAGAGCTGCGGCGCCCCCGGCTGCAGCGGCATGCTCCTCTGGGCCACAGCCGCCATGGAGGCGGCAGAGGGCTGGTAGAGTGCAGATTGGTAGTTTAGTATGGAGACGTCAGGACTGGCAAAGGAAAGGGTGGCATTGTTGGTGGAGGAGGGAGCCAGGTTGGTGGCCTAAAGGAATGGTGGGACCAAAATAAAAGTTATGATGGAGGAGGTTCTGATGGGAATGACAGGGAGGTGGGATGGAATCAGCCTACAACTGAAACAATCCGGGCAGAAATAATGAAATCCAAAGGAAGAATCTGGGAGCAGGCAGAGCAGAGGAATCTTAAAATATGCAAACTGCTGATTTGATTAATTAGGTGGAGAAAAAGGATGTGAGTGGAAACGCAATCAATGCCTCAGTTGCATGAATAATAACTCAATGACACAAAATCCCCTGAAAGTAAAAGCAGTTGAATCATTTGAGCTGTTTACCACAGTATCGGTATTTACTAGAATGAATCGCTTCTGGGTGCTTATTAAAATTTACAGCTCTGGTCATACATTCTGCTTTTGTTGTGGGATGAAAATATGTGATTATAATGAATTTTAAAAGAAAAAATCGGTTGTATGTGTTTAAATGTATTGTGGATTTGTTTGCATCCCCAATGAAAGATGCAAAAACTTTTACTTCAAATATTTCAAATAACTCAAACTAAGTTATGCACAAAGGATCAAATGCTGACATGCTTTCATTCAATGTCTCCAATTGTAGTGAAATAAAGGGCATTTTAGTGCAGCAATGATCATTTTACATAATTCTGCTTGGATCACTGATTTTTTTACAAAATCTGTGATTTTTTTACAATAAAAATCGCTGTGTGTTGCTACTGACAAATTTTGAAATATTTGGCAAATATTTCCAATATTACTAACTAATATTGCAAAATTACAAACAACACACACATTTTTAAAAATCAAAATTACTGCTTTCGTGGTGCTGCGAACTACTTTTGCAATATTTACTCTTACTTGATTCAAGTAAAAAAAATTAGTTAAAAGACACTCAAACACATTATTTTCTATTTTTTGCACAAAACAACATTAATAACTTTCCCTATTATGTAGTAGAGCGAAAAAAATGTAGCTAGATTTTTGTTCATGATCAAAGAAGATCATGACTTTCAAACCCAGAAAATGTGCAGGATGCACCATCATGCTGAGGGACTGGTTTGCTGCCAGGAATAGTTGCACATTGCACAGCCTGGATGTAATAAAGAAGAACTATTATTTGACTTAAACTTAAATCAACTACTGCGCATCAAGCCTGGTGCTGAACAAGTCAAATGATTATTTCAAAGTTACCTCTAACCAAATCGACTTTTATTCAAACTTGTTCACCAAATTATTAGCTTTGAAAATCCCTGGAAATATATATTGATTAATAATAATAATCCACCCAGAAAAAAGGATTGACTGAAATGCATCAGTGAAAAGCCAAAGTGAATGTGATATTCGTGTCCATGATGAGTTCATGTAAAGTTCGGACATAATGCTAACATGAACCTTACAGAAGCAGAAATGTTTCTTGTTCCCACCAAAACGGGACATGATCTTAAAAATGAGCCTGGAGCAAAACGCTTCATCAGCTTTTCACACAAAGTGTCAATCTGTGTAGAAAAGTTAATAACTCACACGTCACAAGGTTCCTGTCTCGTTTCCATCTCGGTTATGATTGACAGAAATACATTTCAGTCAGCTGTGATTTCATAGCTCTGTAAATTTGGTAACTTCTGCGTGTTTGAAGCATTAGACATGTGGAATACTTTCTGGGAAACAAACAGTTTTAAAAGAAACAGGTTTCTTTCTTTTCAGATGAGGAGATGTACCATGAGACAAAGTCTAATTTTAGCTTTTTGCATAAGGTGTATAGGAGCAGAGCTTTCATTTTTCATTTGCTCTCTTTAGAGAGTGTGATGAACATTAGGAGAGGAAAACATGATCAATATTTTTCTGTGGCATTCATCAGAAACAGGCACACAAGGAGCAAAACACAAGCCAAAAACACTTTCCAGTTTTACAAATGAGTTGAGAAAAAATAAATCAGTAACTTGAGCCTGTTTAGCTGCCCTGCGAGCCAGTTGCAGAAAATACAAGCAGGAGGAAATGTTGACGCATTTAAATCACAGAATGAGGAAGTTTTTGTCGCTTATATGAGCTCATTCAATATAGCTGGTGGTAGAGTTGGATTTATAGCTGTGCACAATCTGGTAAACCTTGTAACCAAAAGTTCTGTGATTCCTGCACAAGCCAAAAGTCAGCAGTTTGGATTCACAGATTGTAGGGGAACAAAGCAGTAAAGCACCACAGGCTCAACTCAGCCAAACGGGAGGAAAGAAGAGAAGACAGACGCGGACGGGAGCGCGAGGAAGCCTGGTGAAGGGATTCTTAAGGCCCTGCAAGCCCAGGGATGTTGGGCAAGCAGGAAGCTGTGTGTGATCAGCACTTTGTGACGGTCCCACAGGACCGGGCCACAGACAGAAACTCTGGGCAGACAGATATCCAGGCACCAAGACGGAGAGCGAGGCTGATAAACTGACAACAGGAAGAATGGAGCTAATGAGAGCAGAAACGGCTCATTTCTGGCAGGGAAGCAGAGGAGCTACTGATTACAAAATTCACAGTTTATAGCGTTTTAATTGACTTTTGTTTTAGTAATTCTCAAACAAATACTCTGATAAACTCTAATTATTAGTCAAGCTTCAAACTTAACAACGATGAATCATACCCACAACTGCAAAAACACAAAATCTCACCAAGTATTTTAAGTCTAATTCTAGTACAAATATCTCAGTAAATAAGAATAAGACAAAAAGCACTGGTTCCCATAGCAGCAGATTATTTCACTTATAACATGAAACTTTAATATTAAAGAAATTATTTATTTAAAACAAGCTTGTTAAGGTCACCTGTCAGTTAGTTCTGTCTTATTTCAAGTGTACTAAGATATTTCAATATGGAAGAGGTGAGAACACTTTAGCAAGTCGCTGTCATGTTGTCTCTGACGCTCACCTGGCTGTGCACAGTGTTCAGCTGGTTGTTGAAGGTCATGGTGAGGTTGGTGGAGGTGCTGGGGGCCACGTGGGTGATGAAGGGCGTTTTGCTCTGGTTCACTGTGTCGTACATGTTGACACGACGCTTGCAGATCTCCATGTTTTGGAAGCATGACTTTACGCTGCGCAGACAGAGCGGGAGTGAGCAGAACAGCAGAAATGGTGCAAACAGCAACAGGACGGAGTTTGGGGGTCGTACTGGGTGCTGTGAGGGTAATCGAGGAGATGCGACATGGTAACGAAGGGGTGGTTGAGTGTTTCGATGGGGGTGATCCTCTTGTCAGCGTCGATAGTCAGCATCTTGGTCAGCAGGTCGATGAACTCCCTCCGGTCTGCCTTTTCCGCCAGCATGTCGCTCCCCTCCAGGTCTGACGTCATGTTCACCTGGAAGCAGAAAGAAAACTGGGTTTGTTACAGATTTGGGTTTTAAATATCCCTTAATCCCATAACCTGGAGGATTTTGCAGAATTTGTAGCTTTTCGGTCATCATGAGAAAGCCAGCTGAGTGATTTGAGATTTTTTTTGAGAAAAATCTTACTGTATTTGAATTTAGTCTTGTTGTCACTTTTCAGTTAATTTAATGGCAGTTCTTAAAATCAGTTTTTGTAGGTCAGAAAACCTACACAAACAGATTTTTTTGTAGAAATCAATTTAAAAATCTTTGATCGGTGCATCTCCAGGTTTGCACACTTCCTCTGAGCTCTGGGTATCAGAAAAATCTCCACCACATCATTTTCCCAAGAAGGAAGCTAATAATACACAGAAGGTCTCGTAATTTAAGGAGCGTGTCAGAGCTCAGTGATAACCTTGTTCTGCAGTGGGATTAGAAACATTTGCACTGGTATTCATAGCAGCAGATGAAAAATGTCCTGGGGCCTTCAGCGAGAATTTTATCTCCTCCAAAGACGTAAAAACAAACAAAACGGAGGAACTCAATAAACACGGCCACTCGCTGTCAGTTTCACACAGGACATCAGTTTGTGAGCAGCTCTGAAAAAGCTGACACAGCATCTTAATGTAAATATGTTCTGAGGGAAATTCTGGGAAGCTGCCTTGAAACATCAAGCTGCTTCAGCCGTAATAAACACTGCGGCCCAGGCTGTGGGTAAATACTTGGCAAGGCGGCCGACTTTCTGCTTTAGCGCTTCACACATAAGCAAAGATTGATTCGGTATGTGAGGCACTAATTCTGATTCTGAGCTACTTTTAGTGTCGTGGCGTCTGGTGAGGGACGAAGCAGAGGGGAACAAGGTCAGGACGCAGCCGCTGAGCAGACTGTCAGGCAGTGGGAGCAGGACCAGGCAGCAGACAGGCAGCCTTGTTTATTGTGACTACTGTGTGGAGGAAGCAGGCTTGTTTTTCATAAAGACGCAGCGCTTATCTGCGGGTCTGCTCCAGGGTCTATCAGATGTGCTGCCAGTCAACACGGCAAATCTGATTCACGCTCCTATCTTCATGCAGGCTATTCAGCTTCTGCAGCCGTGCCTCTTTGTTTGTCATCTCCGCTGGCTTCGATAAAGGAATAATCTGCGAAATGAGGTGAGAAATAATCACAATGTCCTCTGTAGGGAGATGACTTTGGGGAAATGTGAACAATCAGGTCCAACAGAAGTGACAAATGAACAAAAAAGGAGGAGAAAATGTTCCGATCATCTACTGATATAACTGAAGAGAGAAGCTATGCATTTCCAATTCTTCAAAACTCATTAAAACCCCAAAACAGCAAAACGCCACATGCTGAGAGGAGCGTCTAAGAAGGAAAAGTGATCAGACGTCGAGCAACAGGATCATCCAGGCTGCGTCTGACATCATGGCCTGCATGTCGCAGTCCTGCCTTCAACATAATCCCAAATCATTTTTACACAACCAGGGAGAAACAGAGGCTGAAACATCTTTCTATTAGAACTGGACAATAAATCAATATCAATATATAACGTGATCAAAATCACTGGATAATACATCTGATAGAATATTCAATAACTTCACCAGACTTTGATCCAGAATTGCACAGCATTCTGGGAGATGTAGGCAGAGAAAAGGCTAAAACTTCTCAGCTTGGTTGGTGGCATCAACTAACTCACTAACTCTTTAGTTAGGTTGTAAGTGGGGCTGTGAATATTAATGTGAATATTAATGTGAATATTAATGAGATAAACCTTTTAGATTAATCGCATGTATTAACACGTATTAATGCTGATTAATCCTATTCCGTATTTTCTCTCGTTATGCCTAGTTCTTACTCACAGGTCTAGAGAGTGATTAATTTTTGAAATAGATTAGTTTTAAGTGAATTCTGATTTTCCGTATAGGATCAGTACCAGCTGATGCGTCGCCTCTGATATCTGTATCGCATTGGGAGTGAAATAAGTGGATTGGTTTATCCTGACTAAAGACTTATAATGATTCAGGCTATTTTGTGTGAGATTATGGAAGAAGATTCCAATAAAACACGTCAGTGTTTCTGGTTTTAACATGAGGAAATGGGGTATGAACCCTTTTACAAGGCAGTGCAGTGGAATGAAGACCATGATGCTCCCTTGGCCATCCTGTCACGGTTATCAGTAAAGAAACCGATGGACTGCAGATTATGGTGGATGTTTTCAGTATTTCCGGCCTTCCTTCTCTCTCCACCGACTCCTCCTGCAGTCCTGCATTTACTGTAAGCTGGTGTCTGATTTCCCTTCAATTAGATATACTCATGACTGAAGCCTCCACACGTTTCCCACGACTGAAAGGAGGTTCATTATCACTTCCTGGCTCCCCGCCCCTCGGCCTTGCAGAGCCTTCAGCATCCATTACAATCGCAGGCACAGACGTCCACAGTGTTGACTTGTTTATGTGATCAGGACAGTGAGAGGGGGTAAAACAGGCCATTTTTACCCCATGTCAGTAGCTCTGAATCTTACCTCCACATGTTTTTTAGTAAATCGAGTGGTGCTGCAAGAGAGGAAGACAGGATACAGAGCTGGAAGCACTGAAGATACAGATAACCCAGGGGATATCATGCCAGCACACGTTGGCTTCATTAAACCGTTTGCCTGGTGCTGCAAACCCAACAATCCCAGGAAGTGATACCATCTCGTCCCAGCTGACCACGTTATTCCAGACCGGCCTGACATTGGCCCTGGGCACCACTGAACCTCTGTAATTGTCTCCATCATTTAAGCAGCAACATGTGTCGGGTGTCCGCATGGTTGGTTTTTCCAGGGGCCGCTGTCTGGATGTAATCAAGATGAACATCCACCAACAGAGGAAATCCACCTGCACAAACCTTTTTATCTTGGAAACGATTGTCAGGAGCTCAACCACAGAACGTGACGATGACATTTGAGCCAAATTAATCATCACTGAACCCATTATCTACCAGCAGGATCAGGTAAGGGTGATATATACACAGGTAAACATCACTCAGGTTTTGAGCCGTCTTGGGAACATGATAGTGAAATAAACCAGCTGCAAAAACAAAATCTGTATTTTTGTCTAATTTCTTGTGTAAAAATTTTATTATTTGAAATAAGATAAAACTAATTTACAAGTAACTTTTCGGAAAGATGTATTAGCTTTTTTTAAGTCAATAATAATGTGACAAGCTCACATTATTTCACTAATAACAAGACATTTTTTCAACGTCATCAGTGAAATAATCTGCCAGTGGAACTTTTTCATCAACATTAAGGAATTATCAACTTAAACCAAACTTCCATATCTTGCTGAAAAGTTACTTGTATGGTAGTTTTGTTTTTGCAGATGAAATGTAAGATTTTTAATTTATTTAAAATATTTTTAATATTACAAAATATAAAAATAGTAAAAGATATTTATGCTAGAATTTGTACCCACAGATTTTCTTTCAATGGAACTAAGTGGCTGAACCCACATCATAACACCCCCTCCACCAAGCTTTACACTTGACACAATGCTATCAGTGATGCTCTGAGGTTTAGGATATCAGCAGCATTAAGTGGGTTTAGTTATTACATGCTTATATGAAATACAGATGAGGCACAGCCACAGCCCTCACCCAGCAGCATAAATAGAAAAACAAAGCGAACGCATCAAGGCCTGTTAACCGGTCGCAGCACATTTTCAGTCTGAATGTCTGTTAGGTATTAGACAGGCGGAGAGCCGGCGGGAGTTTCAGCAAACAGCTGCTTTCATTTGGCTCCTAAAACTCCGTGTATCAGTTGAACTCTGCTGCAGCTGGACATCCTCAGCAGCGTAAATATTTAAAAGGATTTCATACATTTGACAGATAATTGTCAGGACGCGATGGATCAAACCGGCTCTGGACCTTAACCTGCTTGTGTTGGACGTGAGGCAGAGCAGAAGAAAGCAATAGTTCTCTGGTTCGACTTGTCGTGAAGGAAGATCTGGCTGACAGTTTCCAGCCCAAACACAACATAAGGCCCGCCCAATTCCAAAAAATCAGCCCAATAAAAGTTATTTTAATATACATGTATATTAGAGATGCAAATCTTGTTTAATGATTTGATTTGAATTAGATTTTTAGGGTCATAATTCAATTCAGAAATGATTTTTAATTCAGAAACATGTTTTTCTATTTAGAGATTTTGTTTAAATTATGTGAATGACAAGAAGAAAAGACAACATAAATCAACAGAACATTTATTTTAAACAATTCAGATCCATACTGAATCAGATTTCATAAGTTTCATTTGTTTCTAATAGTTGTCATTTAAATTATCACTAGCAGGTTCGTTCAGCTGCGTGGCTTTTGCTTTAATTAATAAAAAAAATCAAAGCATTATTCAAAATACAATTTTACAAAAAAATAATCTACAAAAGCTACAAAATCCACAAAAAAATAGATTTTTGAGCATTTTGAATTGATTCAGAACTCCCAGGTCTAGGAATTGATTAGGACTATTTATTGATTGATTAGGACTATTTATTGATCGATTAGTACTATCTATTGATTGATTAGGACTTGACTGCTGTCTTTTTAAATCATGATGTTGCATTGGGATTTATTTTTTGCATCTGTACTCCACTTTGCCACTTAATTAACCAATTACTAATAATTGATGATTTCATTTTCCACTGATTCTAAACATTTCCAAGTAAATTAGCAAATAAAATAAATGCACTAACACACGGCTCTTTGTCCAACATTTTGTGCTTTTCTGCCACACATCAACTATTTCCCTCTAAACATTTCCTAAAAACCAGTCCAAATGTGTTTCTTCCAGCCAAAAGTTCAAAAGCAGCCTAATTGGACAGAACCGGTCCAATCTGGCAACACTGAACGGACAGCGTACCTGTGCCATATCATCCAAGCAGTTGAAGATATACTTGCGAGCCTCCTTGGACTTGATCCCCGTTTCAGCCTCATGGTCTTCCGGAGTCTGCAGGAGACAAGAAGCAGATGTTTAGTAGAAATACCATCAAACTTCTCCCTCTGGAAATATACTATTTACATTTGGCTTATTATAGCCTCTTGTTGTTGATGTGCAGCAGACCTCATGCTGCCCTCTGAGTAACCCAGGGGTAACACACAAATGCCCTGCTAACAGATTGCACACCAACACAGCAAAAATACGCAGACGACACAGCGGATTTACACTGGAGCACCTGGACAGACACAAACCTGACAGGTATAAACATGCCGTCATTACGATCCAACAGATGCAGATTTACACCGACTGCAGAAATCTCCTGGCTTAACACAAAGTATCTTTAATTACAGCCAGCAACGCGCCACAGCTGGCGTTGGGTGGAAACACATGGCGAGGTCGAGTTAAAGCTCAGCTGTCGCTCTTCAAAGAGGAAGGGACAGAGAAACGTTTCAAGGACGCCTTGATTTCACACAAACCAGATGTGGGACAGTCGTAACGAGCTGCAACGCTTTGGCGGCTCTGCTCAGCCATGTCACGATGACTTTAACTTCTTCCTGAAGTTCATCATAAAGTTATTTTGAGTTTGCTTGTTCTGCAGTTTTACAAATATAGCAGAAAAATAAAAACTGAGTGAAGGAGGAGTTTTTAGGGGCTTTTTGGAACAGAAATACCATAAACATCTAAACCACTTTAGAGCATGTTCTCTTGATGTAGAACTTAAAATTGTCCAGAAAAAGTATTCACATCCTTGCATATCTGACTTTTTTTACAGACGACTGAGTTACTCCTCCTTTTCTATCTGCAACTTAAAACATGTTTTCTTCCAGGCTTGTCCTTTATTTTCCTCCATCTATCCTCTCACGTTGTGTGATCACCTTCCCTGCACCTGTTATGGAAACTTGTTTTATTTCAGGTGTATTAAGATATTTGCAATAGATTACATTAGATAAAGTTTATTGTCCCCAAAGAACAAATTGCCTCAGCCAGCAAAAATCAATTGCAGATAAAGTACAAAAATACACTAAAGAAGAAATAGAAAAAAAAATTTGGTAAGATTTTGTGTTTTCGTTACAACACATTTTCATGCTGCAGAGAGGGATCATATATGAAGCTTATTGCAGTCAAAAACTCAATATGCAAAATGTCTGTGCAGCACCCAGAGGTTCAGATGAAGCTGACGTTGTTTATTGAGTGGCCTAAATGCAGCACAGAGGGCCAGTGAGTGGAGCTGAGCGCAGCGTCAGAGCTCCCACACAGATCCATTTTACCTTCATTACTGTCAGGACACAACAAAAGCCTCGGTTCAAAGCCTCACAAGTACAGCAGCAACAGATACATGGAATAAATAAAAATTATTTACTTTGTTCTGGGTTTATAGAGCAATATTTGTTTATCTTAATCTATTTCTTTTCTATTTTTATATTATTTTTATTTCATAAATAGAAGTTAGCAGAGGCAGATAGATTATGATGCAGTGAAATTACTCCTGAAAGTACATTTCAGCCCAAACGTTCGGTAAGTAAATGTAACTAGTTATTATTTATTTTGTTTTGTACCTTCAGTCTCCAGAGGGGATAGGTGGAATCTGGATCTCTGTTGAAGAACCTGGTGGTCTTTGTTCCTGCACTCAACAGATACTCTGCTGGAAGACCCTGCGTCTGTGAGATGTACCGAATCTGCAAGACAGGAGAGCAAAACAACAAACAAAAAAACACCCAAAATGAAGCAAATGATTTGAAAGAACGTTGAGGTCTGAGATGGTCATTTGATCCTGTAAAGAAAAGGGAAATGCTTTATGACGCAGGCTTGTTTGGAGGTTTAAAATATATTTACAGAGATAATGATGGATAATGATAGAAATGCCAAAAAGGACTTAAAAGCAAATTATGCATGATAGATTTTCTTATGTCAAAAAAAAAGATAATCAGATCAGTACATCTGCTGGAAGGAAAGAGCAACATGTTAATACAGCACAGCAGCCATTATAGATTGCAAGAATTATCACATTTTATCTGAATTATCTCATGAAGAACAAAAACAAAAGTTAGGAAAATCAATTATGTTTAATTAAATTTGTGCAAACCAATTTTCTCAAAAGAATCAAAAACTTCAATGTATAAAAACGAGTAAATCTACGATGTATAATTTAAGAATTAAAAAACTAAAGTAACTTGATGAATTTTGTTGAACATAAATGAGTTTTTCTGCCTACATCTCCAACAACAGCATTCTGTTTATTAAAATGCAAACATTAAAGAAACATGGCTTCATCAGAGAATATTTCAATTTTCAACTCTGTAATCAGTTGTAGAAATGTTCAAAACTCTTTGCAGGTTTGCTTGAGCAGAAATGGAGCAACGTTTACACAATTCACATTTCTGCCTGGACTCAATTTAAATAAACAAACATTTTCCATCCAAAAGTTTAAACCTCTTAATAACGAGGCAGTACTCTATTTTTTTCATTTCATTTAGAAGTCACATCTGATATATAAAGGAAATTTGAGTTTCTTAGTGTAACATCTTGAAATTGGGTCTCTATCTCTTTAAAAATGTTTTCTGAAACATTCAAGAAATCATCACAACATTGCTCCTCTATTAACCACTTAGCAACATTTTTACCAGAAGGAGCTCGTATGATGTCCAGTTCCACCAGGTGTTTGCTAATTGCTGCTGGCTAGTCTGAAGGAGCTGAGTTGACTTTTCATTGCAGTGTGTATGAAGTAGTGATGTGTTACCTGGTCATACTCGGAGGCTCCAGGGTAGAGAGGCCATCCCAGAAACAGCTCAGCTATTACACAACCCAGAGACCACATGTCTATGGCCTCACAGAACGGCAGGCCCAGGATGATCTCTGGAGCCCTGAGGGAGAACAAAGCACACATGGTCAGAGATCCCACAGCTTTATTCAAAACGCTGCGTATTAGTGGCAAACGCATACACTCTCTGCCAACGAAACGCACATAAAAGCCACTTCTACGTTATAACTTTTGATAAATCAGCTGAAATCTTCTGAGGAGCAATTTCTTGGCAGCTCATCTGAGCTGATGGACAGCAGCCTGGAGTCGAACGCAGAGGTCAACAGAGGGAACCGTCAACATATCGGAGGAATCAATGTTGAAATATTTTAACACTTTCTAAGCTAATAATGATTAAAACACACACAGAAAAAAAAATGACATTCCTGCATATGGACCAGAGACATTTCGATTAATCTGCAGCGTCGGGACATTTCTTCCTGAGTTGCTGAGCTGTTAGCAGGAAATGCGTTTTAGACAGTTTTATAGGAGACTACTTATAGATCATTTATAACATAATCAATTTCATCAGTTTAGCTTAGACTTGTGGGAACGCTGGTACTGACATGCTTAGATATGGTCCAGCTTCCAGCACAAAGATACAGAGATTATAAAACCTTCCCTTCATACAAGTCCTCGATTTTAAATCCTTTAAAGATGGAAGAGAGATCGCAAACCACAAAGATAAATTCAGCTGGTTCTGACTGCATAAAAGACCTTCACTGCGTTAAAACGGCAGTAATAAGAACAACTACATTTGTGGGATTTATTCAATATTTTCATTTATATTTTATTGACTATTACTTAACAAATCACCAATATTGCAAATTGTTGTAGCTGTAGAACTAATTGTTTATCATCTGCTTAAAATAAAAGTTTTTATCTTGACAAGAGATTGATGGTCTCATATATTTCAGCAGCACTGAAGTCCAGCAGTGTGCTGTCAGAAAGACGAATACACTCACATCTTCAATAACGCCCAAAATAACCAGGATCCCTGCGATTCCTCACACTGAAGTACTTTTAAGAGGCTCTCCGCCTGTCATTACTATCGGAGGGAGACTCTTAGTCCTGCTTCGTTCTGCTCTAGATGGGATGTCGTCTCTGGGCTCCACACAAACCTAATGTAAGCTGAATCCACTGAAGCCCTGTCCATTCATCGGTAATATATATTAACAGCATGACACGCGGTTCAAAGGAGCTCAAGGCGGATCTTGGGAAGTTTCAAGTTCGCAATCCTGATTGCCGTGACCATGGCAACTCCTCAGGACTCGGCGGGCTCTGGCAGGGTTTTGGTCATGGGAAACAGCATGTTATGGGGAGACTTTACAGAGATGTGAATGAGTTTGAGGTAAATGAATGAAAACACTGCACACAGTTAGAAGAACGTCTCCGACTGCAGCCCGTTTTCCCTGGCAGCAGTGACAACAGGCCACGTTTTTATTGGGATACGGCAGAAACATGGAGGCTGCAGGCATTACAAGGACAGATTATTATCAGCTGTAAAAGACAAAAGGAAGCAGAATACACTGTTCCAAAGAGGCAGAGGCACCAATAAAAGGTTAGAGAGAAATGCTTTACAAACTGACACAGAAGGTGGTTATTGGGGTCGAAAGGGCAGCAGTGGAGCAGACGCCAAAGACAACACTGTGGCAACAGTATCTCAGGGCGCCGTTACACACCGATACAGAGTCAACATCACACACAATGAGCTGGGGCATCAGTCAAAAGGTTCCCCAAGAAGCAGAAAGTGGACTCCCAAGAGGCGAGAACGCGAGGAAGAGGAGGCTGAGGAAGAGGAGGCTGAGGAAGACGGGCTGGAGGTTCTCTGAGAGCACGAGGAAGATGGAAACGTAGCTGCTGCCATCGGCATTTCCCTTAATTTCACGAGAAGATTCAATGCAAACCGCAGCATGAATTCATGTCCAGTTTCTGTGCATTTCTAATTATATCAACGTCTGAAATCTAGTTCTACAAGGCCACATGAATATTTCTGTTTTGGCCTTTCATTAAAGTAACATTAAAAACTTTAATGTTACTAAAAATTATTATTCATAAAAATTTCAACTAAGTTGGCTCTGAGAAAACTCAGAGCCAGCAGCTACTTGCTAAAAGCTACTGGCTGTTGGTTACTTGCTGTTAAAGTAAATTAACATTTATTGTTTCTCTGTTCAACTCATCAGTTTATTAAATAACTTCCACTATTATTAAAGCCGTATTTCCTGGCATACAATGGAGTCCTGTGTCAGGACTTTATGCATCATTTGTGTTCAGGTGAACCATGGCACAACTAATTTATTTTAGAAAATATGTCACCTTTGTAAATTGCTTACAAATGCACTGCAAAGCATCACAACAAAATAATCTTGATACTAAATGTATTTATTCCTTTATCACCAGAAAAATTCATTTAGGATGCTGAGGTTCTGTTTAGTGCCTGGACTTTCAGTTCTCTTATTTCCTTGCTTGTTGAAGAAGCTGAAAAAACAGAGACAACAAAACCACATCTGTGATTTTTTTCACAGTATATTGAGAAAAATATAGTCAGCTGACTGGTTGTTCTTGTGTGATTTATCTAAATTACATTTCTTATATTAAAACAAACAGAAAGCATGCATGCTCTCTAATTTACAGGTATTTTTCAAAACTCAGCTTTAAAAAAAAGTTGATTTGATCCATTTACAGCTTTGCAAGAACTTCAGTGAAGAAAAATGCAGACAAGCTTAAGAGTCAGATTCCTCTAACAAAGACTTGCCACCTAGAGGAACCTCAGTGTAACACGTTTTTCTTTATTTTGTCCGTCTACAGTGTGACGCTGCTCGAGTGATTTAAAGGCTGAACTCCACAAAATCCACTAAAAGAAAGTGAAAGAAATATTTCCATTTCGTGCTACTCTTTTAAATTTGATCTGTGCATGAATGTCTCGATGCTTGTGGTGACTGACTGTTTTTATCGACTTGGATCGATTGCAGCCTGCAGTTTCTCCGGTTGTACGCTATTACTGTGTTTAAGGGTCGCTTTGTTTCCCCTTTTTCTCTGACAGATCAGCAAAGCAAAAACAGAGAGGAAGGAAGGCAGAGGGAGTAACCTTGTTGTGCATGACATGAAACCACAAATGCAAAGTTGCCCCCAAAAATGCACCTCTGCCACTGCCTGCAGAGCACCTTGAAGTTGCTGCTGATGCATTCCTATCACTGGATGGATAAACAATGAAGTGATGTGTGCACACATCTGCTGAGCGTATCACTACTTCTCTGTTCTCCTTTTGTTCTCTACAAGAACAGCGCATAACAACAGAAAATCTACACACTTTGGATCATTTTAGCAATGGAAGTGGTTAAGTGTAGTTTTTATTTGCTGTTAATAGATGATTGGTAGAAGCAGATTGACTTCCACCAATTAACCAGAATATTTCATTTTGGATGCACAGTTTGAAAACAGTACAGTTAAAATTTCTGTTTCATTCAAAGTCAAAGGATAAATCAAACCCATGATAATGTGGTTAAAGACACCATCATGCCAAACTCTGCTTGGGTTACTTGCAATGAACAATCAAATTAACTGTGATGCAAGACAAAAACCAACACATTAGGGAGTAAATCTGCTGGTTCTTCATAAGTTTTCACACCCTTCCCTGAATTAAAACATAAAAACTACTGAGAACCTGATATTTAATTATCTCTATAAAACCACAGGCACCAGCGTTCTGCATTCAATCACCTGATGATCAAATCTGATGAACGAAACGAGCTGCAACATTCCCAGCTTAACATTCACACTGTTCACACTAAGTGTTAAATGTTAAAAGCAGAATTCACTGTAATGTTTAATCAAGTTTATTATGAGATCAGAAATCTTGTTCATGCAATTTGAAACAGTAATTTTAATTATTCTAAAGTGAAATAAGTAGCAATTTTAACTTGATATTGAGAAATAATAAAGAAATGTGTCCTTTAACACGGAGATGGAAATTTTTTTTTTGCATATTGTGAAATAATTATTTGATTTAATTTGCATCATTAAGTTAAAACTCACAAATCAAGATTGAAATCATCAAACAGGACCTCTGTCTCAGACAGAAACGTTTTAAGCTACTTTGGATAATTAACTGAGCTCACTGCTCTGTTGGGAATGTAAATGTGATTGGATTGAAATGATTTTTTGTAAAATCCCTTGAAATGACATTTGTTGTGAATTGGTGCTTTAAAAAAACTGAATTGAATTGAATTGGGAACCATTGTTCTAGACTATGCATGTCTCATACAACACAGACAGCATGTAAACTAAGCCAAAAGCTTTGAATGGTTCTGAATGGGCACCCAGCGGCATGAGAGGGCTCAGTGTTTGGGCTACTGCCTCTGACAGCACCAGCTCCCCACAAAGAGAGGTTGGGACGGGGAGAGAGGGACCCAGACTGCGTTTTGACATCCTCCCAGCTGGCCTGGTCATTGATGAGCCTCAATCCCCTTGGGAGACAGAGATGGCACGACTCATGAATGAGGCCTTTCTTCTGCCACCCCAACCCGCCCCAACACCTCGGCCCGCTCGCCCAACCTCACCATCGCGTACCTCCTTAGCCGCCCCTCCGCAAGCAAAACCTCCTTAAACCAGGCGGTCGAGGCCAGGCTGCAGCACTCCCCTCCCCGCTGCCTGTCCGCCCTCTGCTGAACTTTGCTTGGCTGGCCCAACAGCCCCCCCACACACACACACACACACACACATACACACACACACACACAGCTGACATCACAGGCTGTGTGCATGTCAGGATGTATCCATCAGGCTGACCTTCCCTTTGCTCGGCTCCAGAAGGGAGACGGATGGATCCCCAGAACCCAGCAACATTTAAAAAGACATAAATGCACAACGCGGTTATTCCAGGCTCTTGATATTGGTTTGATCTATCTCTTTTCCATATTTAAAACCTCCATCACTGGCCCTTATGCAAACATGATTTATTCAAGAGGCTGGGAGTCGGGGGTTCGGGAATAAAGCAAAGCTCTTCAGGGTAAATAACAAGCTCAGTTATGACAAACTGCAAAAATGGTTCAGGAAGGAACATTT